CCATGGGGTCACGAAGAGTCGGACACGACTAAATGACTCAACAACAACAACAACAACTGTTTTATGTTCTAAATAAAACTGTAACCCACTGTGGGAAAGAATGATAAAGAAGCAGTAATAATAAATGCTGCTGAAAGTTCTCTCAAAACTATTTGTTGAGACTGACCATCAGGAGGCCTATTTTTATCCTTGCCGTTGAATAGATAGCTATAGTCTCTCATTCCCTTGCCATTTTTCAGGCGACACCTATTTGCAGGTACAAGATAAAAGCTCACAAAACAACTTTTAACCAATGAACCTAGTGCTCTTCCCCCAGCTTCCAGGTGGCACAAGTTTGGAGTCATTCCATAAAAGTCAAAGGGGCCATATGGAGAAATCCACTCAGTTTATAATGGCAACGGGCAATTGTTGTTAAATGCCCTCCAAATTTGGAGAAGGAATTAAAAAATCAATATGCTACCCCATCACTTGAGAATGTTTGTGGTGTTAAAATATGCACAAACACAATTTCTGAATTTACACTTGGACTAATTCGCTTGGGACCATATGGAGTTTGGATACATATTTGTTGTTGCAATGCAGGTGGGAGGGAGCAATGTAGAATAAAGATGATATGAAAGTCAAATAATGACTGTGGAAACTGCACTCCTAGAAATGCAATCAGTAAACAAGCCTTGATCTATATCATTAGGGCTTTAATTACTATTATCATCCAGCTCCTCAAATTCCCTTAAGTCCTATGTATTTATTTATTTGGGTTTTATGATAGTGTGCTAAGGATCAGAGGTTTGATCATTTAAATGTATCCCACTTTTCTATACGAGTCAGCTAACAAAATCAGAACATCAGTACCTAGGAGTAAGACCACTGAACACAATGCAACTTACTTCTGAGAAGACCTGTATAGGATCGTGCTGTAAATTTTTATATTATCCACCAATACACATCCCCCATGGCCAACACCATTCTCAAATGTTGATGCCGAAGTATATCCTGCTCAGCAAAAGTCTCCTGCACATTTAATTAGAAGCTTCCTCCTTGAGACTTCTTCCTTTGACTGATCATCACAGCCTGGATTTCTTTTTCTTTCCCACCCCACTGGAGCCATGGTCATCTGTGGGAATTAAAGTTCAAGTAAGGGATGAATCACCAGTAATGCTCCACCAAACTGAGGAGGAAGCAATCAAAGGCAGAAGCTGAAGAAGGAAACATCTAATTAAAGACACAGCAGCCCTGAAAAACCTGAGTAGTTCTTCACCGGACAAGACTGAACAGACTGGCACTACAATTATGGTTTCAATCACCATTTACTAGTGGGGGGAAATCACCACAAAAGAAATCTGAAAAAAAGATAAGAGGATAAGAGAAAAAAGCATTAGTGTATGAAGGAGAACAATTCCAGTGTAAACAGCAAGTGTGGAAGACATTTGTATTATATTAAGCATTTTTGCACACTATATTTTGTAACACTCTCTAGAAGCCTGTTATACTGCAAATAAATTTTGCAGAGCAATACGCAACAAAGACAACATTGGCAAAGGGAAGCAATGCAAAGAAAGCAAAACTCATAAGAAATAAATAAAACTGTTCTCTAGCACTGAGATTATTCCTGTTGTTCTTTATCAGATCTAATGAAGAACAGCCACTATAGTGCCAAAACTACATTAATAAAATGCTGAAAGAATGGTAGTGCTCCAGTTTATATTCATCTAGGTTGCTAGAAACATAAGAATAAAAGAGAATTGTATATTGACACAAGCATCCTCTCGCCTGGCCTGAGGTCTTGCGACTTTTAAGTAGTGAGAATGTTTTTCCATTATCAGAAGAGCCCCAGTTTTAGAAATCCAGTTTTCCAGCGTTGGTATTTCAGGAATACTAACCTTAGCAAAACCTTGTTTAGTTACTAAGAGCAGAAACACTGAGTAGTATATAATTAAGCTTTACTTAGAGTAGACCTATTAAACGTAATAGACCTAACTTAATCATGGGCCTAGCATAGTCTGAGATAGATAGATAGATGATAGATAGATAGATAGATAGATAGATAGATAGCTGAACGGAAAAATTGCGTAACATTTTAAGGCAGTGTACAAACCAATCATGCTCCGCTCTTCATGCATTAAAGTGTGATGGCAAATAAATATATTAGATATATATTCATCCTTCACCTTACACCCTGCCCCCCCAAAAAAGTTAAGGCACATTTTAAATTCAAGCTTCAAGAATGATGCAGAAGTTGATGTCTCGGGTGCTAGCCAATAGGTGCCTGCCACAGCCAGCTCTTTTCCAGTTTAAGCTGAAACATACTAGAAGAAACCTGTAGGATCAGGGTTGTTGTTGTTTTTCCAGAGCTCTCCAGCAGACAGAAAAATATGCAAATGTTTGGAGAGCAACTACGTGGCTAACAAACTACCTCCAACACTCTTGAAAAGTTACATCTGTCTTCACCGTACATTTCTGCTTTCCTTTAGATGCCTGACAGTCCCTGCTCTCTGTCTTTCTCTGCGCCTTCCTTTATTAAACACTGCTGTAGTGTAGATTTGACACTCCATTGTGCTTGGAAGCAGCTCTATAGGTGAATAACAATATCTGCTTCGGACTCTTTTCTTGAGTTCATTTCACTGAGGAACTGCGCTGTAAGTGGAGGAGAAATCGCAATGGGAAGAGTATATTATAACTAAGACTAGAAAGCTTTCCGCAGCAACAAAAGAAGCTGCAAGAATTCTGCTTACAGCTGTAAAATAAAACCCTTGTGGAAGGGGAGGGGGTGGAATTATTTGGGTCATATGAAGCGGAGCTAGTTTTGACATTCAGGCTTCAGGCTGGTCACAAAGGACTTAGAGGCTTCCTCTGTAGCAGACAGAATAGATTACAGAGCTTTTCACTTGCATGATCAGGGTGTAACTGGTTGACAAATGTGGTACAGGAAGGAATTTTCCCCTGGTCAGAACGTCTGGGGAACCCAGTAAGAGCAGGGAATGTTTGCCTACCCTTGCAATTAAGGCTGAACTTGCTGGCTTGAGCTATCTGGGCTTATTCGACAGAGTGCCAGAATCCTGCATTGCAAATACAGTAGCCCAGTTCTCAAAACAAGTCTGATCCAACACCAGCACAGGTTTGTGTGTAGGGGGGGATGTCGCAGGAGCATAGCTCAGTCTGTAGAGCACGAAACCCTTAGTCTCCAGCCCCACATTGGGCAAAAGATTCCTGCATTGCAGGGGGCTGGATTTAATGACCCTCGTGGGTCCCTTCATACGTTTCCTGGCCCAACAGGATTGCAGCAATGAGCGAGCTCCCTTGCAATTAGGATCAACGTTATCAGTTGCAGGATGCACTTTATCAAAAGAATGCTTTTGAGAGCCGGCAGTTCCCAAAATGCTATTTTGTGCCTGGCGTAATCACTGGATGCTGAGGATAAACAAGGGAGGGCTGTGGCCTTCGAGGCCATATGCGTCCAGCTGGCCCACAGAGGAAAACAAAAGACTGAGCACAAGGGAACTCTGGCCGCTCTTGCAGAGCTCTTTTTGAGGAAGGGCTGCAAGCTCCCACCCTTTGCGTTCAAAAGGCTGCAAGTTCAATCCTTGGTATCTCCAGTTGAAGAAAGCGGAGGGGAGATCAGGGAGCTGCTTACACTTGAAGACAGATATTTCCAGTCTGTCATTGGTTTGGGGTGGGATTCACTGGCACGCTGGCAAATTCAGGTTGTGCAATAAAGGCTGAGTACACGCCGCATATTTCAAGCACATTGTTATGTACTGAAGTTCTCACCCTGGGCCAGCAGGGGGATACTGTAGATAGTTTTCACTCAGGTCCACATATGCAAATAAGGGATCGAAAGTGACGTTCAGTGATTGGATAGTTACAGAAAATGGTTACTGTTGCGTTCTAGTGGAGCTCTATATAAGCAGGCTGGCTGAACCCTTCAGTTCAGTTCTGTTCTGGCCTGTGAATAAACAAGAGCATTTTGAAGAATTGCTGTGTCGTCTGATATGTTCACCCACAACTTAACACTGACGACAAGGATGGGATCCGAACCTGCGTACACACCGCATATTTCAAGCACATGACTTCCCCCCAAGAGCTTTGTTGTTTGCTCCTCAGAGAGCTGCAATTCCCTTTAACAAACTGCGGTCCTCGGGACATAGCTGTCAACTTACAGATTTGAAAATAAGGGACCAGCAGCCTCGAAAACAAGGGATCAGCAGCCAAAATAAGGGATTTTCCAAGCAACTTCCAATGTTCAACTTCTGAGCCCCTCCGAGCCAAAGGCAGAAAGCCCAGCCAGCAGCCAAACGAAGCCTCAAGCGGTGGTTCCCACAGCGCAGCAACCCGGCAAAGGGGATGCAGCAAGGGAAACCACCGTCACCTCTCCGCTGGGAAGCGCTGAGCAAAGGCGAGTCCCCAGGCAACGCGGCCAATTTGATCGGCACAAGGCATTCAAGCTCCACCCCCCAGTCGTTCTTAGACTCCTTATTGGGTGAGCAACACAGCCAAGCAACACAGTTGGAGCTTCCCTCCTCCCTGGCTGGCAGGGAGGGAGGCAGAGGAGCTGCTTCCTTTGAAACCCGGGAAATTTAAGGGACATCATCAATAAGGGACAGCAGCGGGACACGGCGCTGGGATAAGGGACTTTCCCGCCAAATAAGGGACGGTTGACAGCTATGCCTCGGAATTCTTTAGGGCAATGCCATGTGCTTTAAATGTGTGGTGTGTACACAGCCTAAGCTGATCGGGAGGTTTTGCACAGCAAACCAGCTTCCCCAGAAGATCAGACTTTTTGTGATAAGGAAAGTGATGGGAAAAGGCACTGGGAAAGGTGGTATAGCACTTGCCTGGACGCAGTGCCCATCCCAGGAAACAAATGAAAGTGGATGCTCCTTAAATAGTTGCCTGATCTCCCCACAAACAACTCAGGATGAGTGATCAATAAAGAGGTTGCTTGGAAGCACATGGCTTCCCCTGTAAGAATCTTAGTAGTTCACCCCATACTGCTATCTTCAGCCTGGATAGCTCAGTTGGTTGGAACGTGCTGCTGATAACACCAAGGTTGCAGGTTCAATCCCCACATGGGACAGCTGCATATTCCTGCATTGCAGGGGGTGGACTTAGATGACCCCCCACGGTCCCTTCCAACTCTACAATTCTAGGATTGCCAGCACCTGTCAATAAACTACAGTTCCCAGGATTCTTTGGAGGGTGCCATATGGTTTAAATGTGCATTGGAAGTGCTTTAAATGTATGGCTTATGGATCAGCCCCACAAGACAGCCTCCTACCCATGCTCTCTTTGAGGATTCCTCCTGTCGCCCACTCCCTCCAGTGTGAGTCTTTTGGCCGAGGAACAGAAACACTTCAGTCTGCTTCACTGAAAGATCACGGCTGTTTCCCCGCACCTCAGACGCCCTCTGCACTTCCACTGCCTCCTCCTCCTCTGGGGCAAGCCAGAACAAGGGGGGGGGGCAATTTGCACGGGCCTATGATATTATTATTATTATTATTATTATTATTATTATTAGTAGTAGTAGTAATTTATTAAATTTGTATACCCCCCACCCCCCAGTAGAGACAAAAGGGGAACCTACATTGCCCATTCTGGCTTGAGCCAATTACCAGCGTTGCAGAGCCCTGTTTCTGGATGGGCACCCTCTTCCATGCTCAATTCCCCCCCCCCCCAAAAAAAACCCCAGCAATTCCTCCAGGCTACAGTCTGACAACCAAATCCTCTCCCCACTGGTAGAAAGAGCCAAGCAGCCTCACGCCTTAGCCTGACCTCAGCTGACAATGTCTTCCTCTTTTTCTGTGTCTACAAACACCCTCCTCCTCTCATCTCCTCGCCAAAGTGAGAGACGGCTAGTGCTTTCAAGCTCCTCGCTAGGGAGGCAGGATGAGTTCCGCTGCTCCAGCTGAATCTCCTTCCCTCTCGCATTGGCACAAGTTAGACGCTGCTGATCAGCCTTAAAAGCCGGCTGGGAGATAGAGACAGAGATAGAAAAATAAGTGAAATCAGGCAATGGAAGCACAATTTCTCTGCCTGAAGAGAATTAAGCATTCTCCGTTGTGCTGTGTGGCACTGCTAGGCCTGTTCTGCGCAACTAGACCTCATTTAAGGAAAGACGGATCTGGCCCAAACATCCCTATAATGGCCCTAATTCCTGTGACCACAGAACACCTTCCATTCCCTGCTTCTCTACAGCCAATTGATAGTGATCATCAAGTAAAAGGTAAAGGGACCCCTGACCATTAGATCCAGTCGTGGCCGACTCTGGGGTTGCGGCGCTCATCTCGCTTTATTGGCCGAGGGAGCCAGCGTGCAGCTTCCGGGTCATGTGGCCAGCAGGACTAAGCCGCTTCTGGAGAACCAGAGCAGCGCACGGAAACGCTGTTTACCTTCCCGCCAGAGTGGTACCTATTTATCTACTTGCACTTTGACGTGCTTTTGAACTGCTAGGTTGGCAGGAGCAGGGGCCGAGCAACGGGAGCTCACCCCGTCGTGGGGATTCAAACCGCCAGCCTTCTGATCAGCAAGCCCTAGGCTCTGTGGTTTAACCTACAGCGCCACCTGCATCCCAAGTGATCATCAAGACACAATGGCAATTCCAGGCTGCCACTATCTTCCAGTGGGGCTCAATCACATACCGGCAAATCCAGGTTGGCCAGTATGAATGGTCTCTCTCGCACAGAAAACCCATAGCACTTCTCTGATGAAAACAGGGCCGTCCTAAGGAAAAGCGGGACATTCCAGTATCAAATCAGAAACCGGGGCGGCTTCTGTAAATCTGGAACTTGGCCCCAGAAAATAAGGACACTTGGAGGGTCTGAAAACCTGCTTCCACAAAAGAGCGAACTTTTTATAACGAAATGAATGGGGAAACGGTACTTGAAAGTATGAAATAACTTCATGTTATCTAGCCTCCCTATGAAGACATCAGAATGTTTGCTCGGTAAATAGCTGGTGGTGTTTAACTATCAAGCAAGCAAGGATGAATGCTTAACAAACAGATCACCTGAAAGCAACTATGGGAACTTGTGATCTAATCACACCAGGCGGTAGGAAATGAGCTGTTTTCATCTGCAAATGTTACAGCTGTTAGCAGCTGGAGGAGGAGGACAGAGGGAGAAGAAGGGGGAGGAGGGACTGTTTCCATCCTTTGGGCCCTCTGGGAAACTCAACAAACCTGCTGGAGCTGGAGCTGAGTGTGGAAAGTGCAGCTGAATGGGACACGACATTTCTTGGTTTTATGGCCGGGGGTTGGGCTAGATGACCCTCGGAGCCCCTTCAATTCTGCAATTCTATTATTCTGTGTACTTCCTCTTCCCTGTAAATGCCATCCATTCTTGTCAAGTCGCAGGCCATCTTCTTCCACCCCAACAATTACACTTGCCATCTCTGCAGACATGTTTCCATTTCATTATATATATATATATATATATATATATATATATATATATATACATATCCAAAGGCAAGTCAAATAGAAAGTGCCACATCTTAATGACAAACATTAGACGCTGGTCTGTTTGATTAACATAATTTCTTTCTGCAGTTGATTTTTATATATACATATATCAAAAATTACTTCCAGATCAGTTGTTTCCCCTCTCATTTAAGTGCACGGGTTGTGGGGAGGGGATTGCAAAGGGGGCGGCCAAATCTATTTTGACATGAAGCACTAATGTGTCCTTTGCTGTGACCTTCTGTCTGCAAGTTTGCGTTCTCACCTCTCTCCCTGCTCTTTAGAAAATACAAATCAGCTCCGACCACAGCCATTGGTCAAGAAGAGCTCCTGCTGGCTCCCCACCAAGCCTCCGGGGTTTCTGGAGCAAATAAAAAGGTCCTTTCTTATGACACATATTTAAATTTAGCACTAAGCAAAGTGGAGGGTGGAGGTGGGAGACGGAGGAAAATATGTAAAATGTCAGCATCTGACAGGCAGAAAATTAGAATTCATTCCCCTGGGAATTAAATGGACTTTTCTGCTTCTAGTCACTAACCATGACAAGGTTAACATTTTTCAGCTTAATGACTAAGGACATTAAGTGTGCATGTGAATAAGGAATAAAATTACTAGAGGGTACTTGCTTAAGTGTGCGACAACAGAGATGACAACGGAACTGGGGCTATGTTAAATCCAACAAGCCGGGACCGTCCCTCGTGGAGGGCTCATGATTATAGTGGTAGTTCTGAGCACCCGATGATGGGCTTATCATGATCACTGAGTACTGCTAGACAAGAAACTCATAAACCTCTTCCTCGCAGCTTCTGAGGGGCAGGCTACCCATTGCACTCACATTTGAAAGGAGCCTGGCTATGTCTGCTCAGATCTGAGGCCTCCTCACCTACCGGCAAGGAAATGTGGATGGCTCAAGGTAAGCATGTAAGGAGGCAGCGATTTCCATGTCCTCCTGCATTCAGCGCAATCACCGCTGTTCCCGTTCTCCTACAGTTCGACTTCTGCTAAAACCTACCTTATTCCTCATGCTATGCGCTGTGTGCAATTACCGGTAATTATTATTTCTATGTATTGCAATGGAAGGGAAACACCAAAAAGCAACGGAGAAAACAACATAATTCTTTATGTAACATTTGTGGGCTGAAAAAATAATAACTGTATGGAATACTGCTCATCTTCACTTGTGTGATATCCAACCTCGGAGGAATGTGTATATAGCGGCAGTTTCCACTCCTATTTTTGTTTCTGACCAAATTCTCCAACATCCCTAACTACAGGATAATGTAGGCCATTTGTTTTCTTTCTTTCTTATTTATTTATTTATTTATTTATTTATTTAGTCATACAAACATACATACATAACGTATATATCCTGCCACTCTGGGCGGCTTTCAACAGAACATTAACAGAACATTAAAATCTGAATAAAACTTCAAATATTAAAAACTTCCCGAAACAGGACTGCCTTCAGATGTCTTCTAAAAGTCAGATAGTTGTTTATTGCCATGACATCTGTTGGGAGGGCCTTCCACAGGGTGGGCGCCACTACCAAGAAGGCCCTCTGCCTGGTTCCCTGTAACCTCACTTCTCGTTGTCAGGGAACCGCCAGAAGGCCCTCAGCAGGCTGTTAACATTCCCAAGAGTTCAAAGGGCCTTAGAGACTTGTTTTAATTGGTCTTCCCTAGAATAATTCTGGGTCCACTTACCACCCCAGCTGAACTAGTGCTACAGTCGACTGCGTTATGTTTTACCATCCTACAGATTGCTAACAAATTGAATGGGTTTTATTCTTTTGCTTTTCTTCATAATTATGTTCTTTTTGTGTGGTGGGTTTTTTATTGTTCTTCTAAGATGAGCATTGCCTAGAAATTCAACCTACAGCTATGTTAAAACAGAAAAATAAATAGGTCCTGTGGTATGGTCTGAAGGCACATTATGAAGCTAAGCAGGTCTGGTTCTGGTCAGTTCCTAAATGTGTAACCACTTGGGAAATGCATGTACACTGCCTTCAGATCCATGATCGAAAAAGAGTGGAATATAAACATAAATAGGATAAAATAAATTATGCAGCAAAAGCACCCACACCTCCTTCCTGTGTGCAAAGTAACACATGCATCTCACTACATACCACAGCTGTCAACTTTTCCCTTTTCTTGCGAGGAATCCTATTCAGAATAAGGGAATTTCCCTTAAAAAAAGGGAAACGTTGACAGCTATGCTACATATATGAAAGGGTGACAACTCCCGATGGGCAGTGATGGTGCCAAAGCTGGCCATCATATAAAAAGTTTCTCCGTACTTAGAAAATTAGCACTACAACTTCTCCTTGACATGCTAGATTTCTGCATGCAAGACCAGGGAGAGGGTGCATTGAAAATGTCTAGTGCCCAACCTGCACCCGCAGAGCAGCATCCCATGGCCCTCCTGCTAATGTAGCTTGTGGTCCTGAGGCAGTTGCCTCGATCGGGTGCAATTTAGTAGTTACTTTCATGCGGCTCAGGATTTCTCCCGGTGATGGACTGATCTATATTCCACATTCTTCTTGCTCAGACCGCACTCTCTTATTGCTTTTGGTCCCTGGCCTCATTACCTCATTCTTCTCCTCTCTGCTGCGAGCCCCATAAGTCACTTATCAGACCCTAATCCCAATATAGCCAAATCATTTTCAATATGTTTGCTCTGCTCAGGAGCTCCTTCTCCTGCCCCACACTCACAGCGCTGTTTTGTAGCCTCAGCACATTTAAGTCACTCTTGAAATTACATCTTGCTCAAGGTCATCGTGCTGAATTTTAAAACGCTCTTCGGTTCGGCGCGCCATCCCCGCACCTGCATTAACTCTCGCCTGATTATCCTGTTTGTTGTCGCTTACAAATTAAGGAAAAAGGAAGGGGAATCCAAAGATACCCGGAGTCTCTTCCTCCAGCCCACCCTTGAACTAGGCATAACATGCTAATCAGATATTGGCAGGGGGGCAGAATCCGATAGGCATGTAATCAGCTGAAAAGGTTTCCAACAAGCTGGCTCCTGTATCCCAAACCAATCTGGCTGTGTCGTGAGTCTCTTTCTATGGTTTTGCTGTTCCCTTGTTCCACAGCAGAACATGCCTGTTTAATGGCAAACGGTGTCTTAGCAACATAGGCAGCTGTCCTATGTCAAGTCATATCATTGATCCATCTATTTCAATATTGTCTACACGGACTGGCAGCAACGCTCCAAGGTTTCAGACGGGGACACTTCCAAGTCTTACTTGGAGATGGTGGAGGCTGAACACACACACACACAGAGAGAGAGAGAGAGAGAGAGAGAGAGAGAGACAGACACACACACACACTGCAAACTGCTCTGAGGTGTCCTCATAGCGAGTGGTCTATACAGTGGTACCTCTGGTCGCGAACGGGATCCGTTTCGGAGTCCCGTTCACAACCTGAGAGGAACGCAACCTGCGTCTGCACATCTCCACATGTGCGGGTCACGATTCGAAGCTTCTGCGCATGCGCGAGCGACGAAACCTGGAAATAACCCTTTCCTGTACTTTCAGGTCACTGTGGGACGCAACCTGAAAAGACATAACCTGAACCGAATATAACAAGAGGTATGACTGTACAGGGTTCTCTTAGGGTGGGGTGGGGAGAACAGGGGTAACTGCCCCAGAGCCCATGCTTTGGGGGGATGCATACCCAGTGCTGACAGCCACAAGTATCTGCGAAACAGCAAAATACAGTAAGCCGGGGGTGGGGGGGGGGATATAGGAAATTGCCTTGCTCTGAGTCAGATCACTGGTCCACCTAGCTCAACATGTCTGCCCTGACTGGCTCATCAGGGCTTCAGAAAAGGGTCTCCCTTGCACCAGCCCTGCTTGGAGATACTGGGATTTAACTCGCAGCCTTCTCTGTGCAATGGATTATCTGCAACTGAGCTACGGTCCTTGAGCTATGGGAAGATGAAGGCAGCAGGAGGCCCACACCATGCAATTTGCCCTTCTCAACAGGCCCTTCTTGGTGGTTGCTCCCAGACTCTGGCACTCCCTCTCTAGGGAAGCTAAACAGGCTCCCTCCTTGTTGTCTGTCCACTGATAAAGACTTCCTTGTTCCAACAGGCTTTGGGGAACAGGCTGCTTCTAATGAAAGGGCTGGTGCTATGCTGTTTTAATTGCAATCATCTTTAATAGATCTTTTAGATTTACATGTCGTTTTGATTCTATGAAAGTTTACTTGTTTTCTAACGACTGGGAATTTGAAAAACATGTTTTTAGCTGTTCCTATTTTACCTGTAGAGGACGTGGGTGGCGCTGTGGGTTAAACCACAGAGCCTAGGGCTTGCCGATCAGAAGGTCGGCGGTTTGAATCCCCGCGACGGGGTGAGCTCTTGTTGCTCAGTCCCTGCTCCTGCCAACCTAGCTGTTCGAAAGCATGTCAAAGTGCAAGTAGATAAATAGGTACCACTCCGGCGGGAAGGTAAACGGCATTTCCATGCGCTGCTCTGGTTCTCCAGAAGCAGCTTAGTCATGCTGGCCACATGACCCGGAAGCTGTACGCCGGCTCCCTCGGCCAATAAAGTGAGATGAGCGCCGCAACCCCAGAGTTGTCCGCAACTAATGGTCAGGTGTCCCTTTACCTTTATTTTACCTGTAAGCTGACTTGAGTTAGGGGGAAAGGTGGGGTATAAAATAATGATGATGATGATGATGATGATGATGATGATGATGATGATATCAATACCACCACCCCTGGGATAGCTCTGGTGAAAAGATAAGCTGTGTACATGGCTGCAGGCTGTGAAGCATCCCTGCTTTGTGTCCTTCCTCCTTTTATGTGCATGATAATCCCATGCCTCAAGGCAAATACCAAATTGACCCTTCTTCATCTGGCTGCGCTGGATGCTCCTGCCTGCAGCCAACCTTCAGTTTTGCAGGTTGGTCTTTGGAGTATCCTACCTGGTTTCCGGAGGAAGCTGAAAGACCAAACAGCAATTAGCTGCTTGGTGTCTGATCCTTGAGCGCCCTCTACCGGGTACTGTTAGAATGGACATTCAAAACAGAACTAAAATGCGTCTTCAAAACCAGGGAATGGGTTCTTGTCATTGTCTCACTGGGCTGTATATGTGATAAAGGGGAGCCATACCACCTAGGACCCTCGTACGTACAGGACGGCCTCTCCTGGTATGCCCCACGGAGGACCTTACGGTCCGCAAATAATAACATCTTGGAGGTCCCGGGCCTTAAGGAGATTAGACTAGCTTTGACCAGGGCCAAGGCCTTTTCGGCTGTGGCCCCAGCCTGGTGGAACGTGCTGTCACAAGAGACCAGGGCCCTGCAGGATTTGACATCTTTCCACAGGGCCTGCAAGACGGAGCTGTTCTGCCAGGCCTTTGGTCGGGGTGCAGTCTGACTCCCCCTCTTCTCCTTATAAGAACTTGCATGAAAGTGCCCCCCCACACACACTTTTCTCACAGACTCATATAAGATCAGTATAAACAGTTAGGCCTGGTGAGCATTTAAAAGTCCCCATCCCAAATGGCTTGTTTTTTCAAAGTTTAGTTTGTTTTCCAGAGACTTATGCCTTTGTAATTTGGTGAGCCAAGGGGCCAAACAAGCCATGGTTAAGGAAGGGTGCTGGGTTCAAATGTAACTCGAAGCTATTGTTAAAACAAAGCAAAGTTCATAAGTCAACAACTAAACTGTGATTTCAGATTGTTGACTTATTTGGCAGCAAAGAAATCTTACAATTAAGCCACTGGCTGAGGTTCAGACAATCAAACAAGCCATGGTTTGCTTGCAGGACTGTCAAACAAATTTCTGGACCCTTCTTCTTCCACCACTAGCAGCAGAGATATAGCACTGGGATGTGTTGATGTCCTACTAGAGTGATTGTTCTAAAATTATTGGAGAAGACAATTTCTCTATTTATCCCAGAAAACCTGCCTATAAAGTGTGTGACCAGCACCCCTATTGGAGGCATCCCATCCTTGCCCAGATTCGGATCTAGGGTAAGCAAATCTGGGGCAACGGTTTACTGCCCAAATATTACATGCTAAATTTGCCGCCCGAGATTAGGTTTTAGATTAACTGGGCCAGCGACTGAGAAGGAAAGGAGCTGTCTTCTAGCCATTCCCAAAAGTGCTGCTGACTGGGTCCTCCAAAAATTAGATGAGCACATGGCTTGTGCCAGTAATAACCCATAAACGTGACATGCAGATAGAATTTTTTTTAAGTACCCCCAAAATCCAATAAAATCCATTACTGCAATGTGCTTTACATGGGGCTTCCCTTGGACTCAGTCCTGAAACTGCAGCTGGTACAGAACACCATTGATTCCATATTACACCTCCGCTAAGGTAGTTGCATTCATTGCCATAGGCAGTGAGTTCCACAGATCTCTGGTGTCCTAGAAACCAGGCTTTTCGTATTGTAGCTTCAGCCCTCTAGAATCAATTACCAGCTTAAATTAGACAAGTACCTACTGGTTTGTTTGTGACCCAGTCATTTTATGGGATGTCAGTTGCACAATTCTATAAATCATTTTATTGCTCTTAACTTTATAATTCATTCTACTGTATAGCACTTTGGTAGCGTTGGGTGGTGAAGCAGTTTATAAACCTGCATTAAGCACACACAAACACACACAGGGATGAAAGTGTCATCCATTAATTGTGTGTTTGAGAAGGGCGGTGTTAACTTACAGAGGCAACCATCACTTACACAAACAAACAAAACCTAAACTGAACAATTTAGAGTCCATGCTGCACTTCTTCCCAGAAAAACATTCGATGATGCTCAGACCAGGTGCTTCTCAGCAAGTGATCAAAGCCCCTCCACTGGATCTTAGACTCGGAATCAAGGTTCCACTTTATCCACTGATTTGACCTTGATAGCAGCGAGCTGAGCACTTGCGCCTGCCCGCAGCTTCCACTGGTACCGAAAGAGCCTCCGCTCGCATTCCTTCTGCCCCCACAGGCGGGCCAACATCACAGCATTATGGCCATCATTGTCTTCGTCGCTAATCTTGGCCCCGTAGCTAAGAAACAGGTCGATACAGTCGCAGTGGCCCGAGGTGACGGCAACATGGAGGGCTGTTCTACCCAGCGGCGTTTTATATGCCAGATCAGCGCCTGGAGAGGGGGAAGCACACAAAACAAGGGATCTAACAGACCAGAGTTTAACATATCAAAAAACTTTTGTAAGACAATACAGTACAGTCATACTTCAGGTTACAGATGCTTCAGGTTGTGTTTCTTCAGGTGCAGACCGCCAAAACCTGGAAGTATCGGAACGGATTATTTCCTGGTTTCGGCCATCACGCATGCACAGAACCACTAAATTGCACTTTGCACATGCACAGAAGTGCCGAATTGCAACCCACGCATGCGCAGACGTGCAGGCACAGGTTGCGAATGCTGCGGGTTGCAAACGTGCATCCCGCATGGATCACGTTCGCAACCCGAGCGTCCACTGTAAATCCTTTAACCCTCTAATGCAGTGGTTTTCAACCAGTGTGCCATGGCACCTTGGGGTGCCTTGAATGATAGTCAGGGGTGCCGCAGGCAACACTGGCCTCTGTCCCTCTTCCCTCCCCTCCCTCCTCTGATGCCCCCTCGCATCTCTGCCTCCCAAAGGCTTGCACAGCTGTTTGTTGCAGCAGCCCCAGCTATGAGCTCCCCAGGCGAATGGTGCCTCTGGGGCTGGCCAGGGGGTGCCGGTTGCCAGGAGCTGAGGTGACTCAGAGTAAGCAAGCAAGTGGGTGAGGGAGCCCAGCCAGCCAGTCTGCCAGCCCTTGCTATTGGGAATGGATAGACAAGTGGGAGGCTGGGCAGGCAGGCAGGCAGGGCCTTGCAGAGCCAGGCAGAGGCCCGGGCCAGGTAGATAATGTGCCCCCCCTTTTTTTTTTACCCTGGGGATAACTGAAGTCTTATAAACAAGTAAGTATATAAATAATTTTCACAAATATTATGCTGACAAATAATTTTATTTCAAGGCTTGAACCGTATCTGCATATAAAGACAAAATGGAAAATATAGATAGTGCTTTTTAAAAATACATAGGGAATGTATGCTGGCCAAGCCTCCTTTGGAATCAGAGGCCCGGGCCAAGTGGCCCATATGCCCCCCCCCCCCTGGCCTGGCCTGGCCTGGAGGCAGGCATCGTACTGGCCTTGCTTGTGCAGCTGTGTGCGAGGCCTGCCTGCGAGCTGCATGCCCGGTGCCAAAGGGGAGCACCAATGGGGAGTGGCTGGGGAAACCCAGCCAGATGAGCAGGGTATAAATAATAAATTATTATTATTATTATTATTATTATTATTATTATTATTATTATTATTTTGCCATGCCATGCAGGCGTGGCAGTGCCTGCTGCTGCCATTACTGCCTCCCAAGGTGAGTAAGGTGTGGACTTCACATTCACCTTTGCCCAGTCTCTGTCGGGCCGCTAAGGCCCCTAGGGGATGGCATGAGGAGGCACCTCTCTTTGGGGGCTGCCGGCTCTGCAGACAAAGGGTGGCATAACTGGGCTTCCACGTTTCCCTAAAGGGGAGCCGCAGAAATAATGTAGTTGGTCGATGGAGCCGTGGAAGCAAAGAGGTTGAAAATCTCTGCTCTAATGCAATAGATCCCCCACTGGGCTCCAGGGTCAGCTGATCAGCATCGCCAGTGAGCCCCACTTGCAAAAGAATTGGGAGCTCACTCTGCACTCTCAGGTGTCCCTTCGTAACCACATCCTTGCTGGCGTGGCAGGGGGACATGGTTTGGAGGAGAGAGACTCATGGGCCAAATTGAGACCTGTTATGGGTGTAATTAATTGCCTTTTTACTTTAATGCCTCAACCCTCCTTCCAAGCCAGCTTCTTCCATGGATAAGTGCAGATCTGTGGGTTGATCTGCAAATGCAACAGAATGAGTTGAGAATTATATGGCAAAAGTCCTGAGGTGGACAGGATGCAGTGCAGTGCATTCTTTCCACCTCTGGGCTTTGCCGCACAATGGCTTTTCCATTTCACACTTTCTTTGTAAAGGCTTCTGCTTCTCCTGATATGAACAATTCACCACAAGTAGAAAACCAGCACCTCAGGGTATCTGTCAGGCTACAGCCTCTCCCCTTGATGTGCTAGCTTGCTTTGAACTTGCAGAAGGGTTCTGAGGCTCTTTTTTTTTTTAATGTGGGGGACATTTGGGAAATGGAGTTACCCACCTTTAATTGGAGGCGGTGTGCAATACATTCCACCACTTCAGAATTCTAGTGCACATTTATAACATGCTAGGGGAGCTCATTGCAAGTGGAGCTCTCTGGAAGAAGCAGACCATGAAACTCACTCTGCAGTTCTTTGGATCCCAGTCTCAATTTACTGAAAAGTCTCGTCTTGGAAGGAAAGCAATTTATGTAGGATTGAGGGAGGCACATAAATGCGATAGGTTTTCATGCAGTTCTCTCGATTCATTTGATGAGCAGGGGTTTGCACCACTGCTGGTAAGTATAACTGCTATAGACTTAGGCCTACTGTTATCAGGTCAATTTCCTCGAGTTTTGCAATGTGGAAAATGTAAGTGGGGAGTTGACAATTGGGTATCTAAGCTTCGGAAGACAAGATGTGTGTAGTTTATTGGGCACAATGAACAGAACAATGTTCCTTCTCATACTACAAGTTACTACCACTTGGGCATAGTAATCTCATAGCCGTGTGTTATATGACAACCACCTCACCACATCATTTTAGACAAATTAACCTATTGGAATAATTTTAGGCAAATTAACCTATTGGAATAATGCTCTGTGATCAAACTGTATGTACAGTGGTACTTTGGGTTACAGATGCTTCAGGTTACAAATGATTCAGGTTACAGACTCCGCTAACCCAGAAATAGTACCTCGGGTTAAGAACTTTGCTTCAGGATGAGAACAGAAATTGTGCTCTGGTGGCATGGTGGCAGTGGGAGGCCCCATTAGCTAAAGTGGTGCTTCAGGTTAAGAACAGTTTCAGGTTAAGAATGGACCTCCAGAACGAATTAAGTTCTTAACCTGAGGTACCACTGTAATAGTTTTCTTCTGACCACTAAAGACGACCAGCTGGGCTAAAAAGCATCTGGTCTTGGACAAATTTTGGTTATATTGGTCATATAAGGGTTTTGATCAAGTTTCAGCTCAACAGACAAGTCCATTTGTTATTATACTATCTTTGTAATTTTACCTATTTTTACCCTGGTTTTTACATTGGACTGAAACTGTGTTTCACTTTCCTACAATGTTTGGAAGCAATTCACTTATTTATTCCTAACCACCTTGAGCTTTGAGCCTTGCAATATTGAAAACATCAGCCTTAGACAGCTACAAGGGCCCCTTCAGAATATAGGGATGCTACCATTTTGAATCAGGAAATCCACTGCATCCAAACGACCCCTGCGCGCATTGATAAATAAAGCCACAAAGGTTCGGTGTGCTAACCATTCGCTCCTCTCCGCTGGTCCCAGGGATGTGGAATAGGCCGTGGAAAATGTGGAAGACATTGAACCTCCTGCAACAACAATCTGGCAATGGAAGACACAAAACAAGTATTGACTCATTATTTAAACAGACTCGGAGGAAACCTATTGCATGCTGTGAGCGAATCCCAAGCTGTTGGAAAGGCAGTAGAAGATGGGCAACATTTTTCCTGTTTATCTAGTCAGCGGCTTTGCAGCATCGCCTCCCATTTGGCTTCTGGACTTCTCTGCCAGACTCGTCATTATGTGAGGATTGAATCATTGTGGGAAGGGCAGTGTAGAAAATAAACCGATATGCTGGAAATGTTAGGGTTGCCATATGTCCCCTTTTCCCAGGACACATCCTTTCCCTCATGGGTATGTAAAATGAGAGTCGTCATAGCGATCCATAGTTCAAAGTAGAAGTTTGCAAATGTGTCCTCTTTCTTCGCTCTTCAGAATATGGCAACCCTAATATCCTTCCCAAATGCATGCAGATTAGCAGACAAAGGCTGTTCAATGCAGGCTTCCTCAACCTCGACCCTCCAGATGTTTTGAGACTACAATTCCCATCATCCCTGACCACTGGTCCTGCTAGCTAGGGATCATGGGAGTTGTAGGCCAAAAACATCTGGAGGGCTGAGGTTGAGGAAGCTTGATTTAATGTGAATGTGAAGGTTGGATGGTTTCAGGGAGACAGAGATATTGTTAGGGTACGGTATTTATTCATTCAGAGCCCAAATTGCCAGGGCAGCTTATATAGAGAGTTCAAATTATTATTATTATTATTATTATTATTATTATTATTATTATTTACCGCACCCATCTTGCTGGGTTTCCCCAGCCACTCTGGGTGGCTCCCAACAGGATTAATGATGATGATGATGATGATAATAATAATAATAATAATAATAATAATAATGTGATAAAACAACAGACATTTAAAACTACCCTAAACAGGGCTGCCTTCAGATGTCTTCTAAAAGTCAAATAGCTGTTTATTTCCTTGACATCAGATGGGAGGGTGTTCCAGAGGGTGGGCACCACTACCAAGAAGGCCCTCTGCCTGTAACCTCACTTCTTGCAGTGAGAGAACTGCCAGAAGGCCCTCAGAGCTGGACCTCAGTGTCCGGGCTGAACAATGGGGGTGGAGACGCTCCTTCAGGTATACTGGGCCGCACCAACACTTTGAATTGTGCTCGGAAGCATACTGGGAGCCAATGAAGATCTTTCAGGACCGGTGTTATATGGTCTCAGCGGCCACTTCCAAACTGGTATTGAACTCAGTTATCTCATTCTTTTTTGGCGTTCCCTCCCAGCAGTGATGTACTGGGCTAGGGATGAAGCTCCTTTGCTTATTTCACAGCAAGGATAATGATGTCACTGCCCGGGGTGCTGTTTGCCAATCCCGCTGCAGGCCATAGAAGTTTGTATCAGAAGGCAATTCATCCAATAAAGCGGGAGAGATGGACTACATAAACCAAGCATGGCTAAGGGTTAAACTGCAACCCTTGTTCTGAAACATTTCAATATCCTTTTATATACTATGGCAACTGAGCATGACACAAAACAGTGAGCAAGCCTTCAAGTCCAAACAGAACACTCCATCAGCGCTCAGTCAGTAGAGCAGGATGCTCTTAATCTCAGGGTCAGGGGTTCGAGCAGCCATGTTAGGAAGAAGGTTCCTGCATTGCAGGGGGTTGGACTAGATGACCCTCGTGGTCCCTTCCAACTCTACAATTCTACGATTCTATGTTAAGCAAGATGTGAAGGGGTAGGGGGAAAGCAGCCTGGCTATTGATGCCGTAAGTAAAAAATAATAATTTTTCCCTATATATGTTGGGAAACTGTGTACGTGCAGCTACTCACACAGAGTCAATTAAGGTTTGGCAGACAGCCAGAAGGCAATCTGAAGGAGTAAGTCTGCCTGGTGATAACGGAGACATGGAGACCGCTCCCTGATTGGTCAAGCTCTCTCAAGGGAGTGATAATTAATGGGCTACTAACTGGAATGTGTTAGTTCAGGAGTTCAGTGTTCAGAGTTTGGAGTTTAGAGTTCTGTTTCAGTGTAGGGGTTGTGAGTTGTGTCAGAGAGAGCTAGCAAAAGATCTGTGTTCTGTTCCTCTAAATAGTCCACTGTATATAATTAACACCTAACTACAAGTTCCTGGTTCCTGCTTCGTCTATCCTGTCTGCAGCCAAGTCGCCCATTTCTTCCATGGATTCTGCGTTTACTCTGCTAGGTCTGGCTAGGTTTTGCCAATAATATAGTCTCAGCAGGGGTCAATAATGACAGGCCGCTGCACTCATGAAGAAGGGGATGGGCAGCAGCGAGGTTGGGGAGCTACAGGTTGACAATGGAGAAGGGCCTTCTCTGCAGTGGCTCCCTGTTTGTGGAATGCTCTCCCCAGGGAGCTTCAGCTGGCGCCTTCATTATACATTTTTAGGTGCCAGGCAAAAACGTTCCTTTTCAACCAGGCCTTTGGCTGACTACATCAAACACCCTTTTAAATGTGTTTTAGGAGGGTTAAGGGGTTATTGGTTTGATATTGTTCCTGTTTTATCAGACTTGGCAACATATCAAGCTAAAGCAAGTTAAGCAGTGCCAATTTTAACTTCACGCAGTGAGCAAAATGGTGACCCTGAATAATGTAAGTGAAGATTCTCTCTCTTATGCATCTAATAATAATAATGCCTTTATTGTCATTGTACAACCTGTGAGAAAAGTGTGAGTAAAGGAAGTTATGGAAATGCCACTATCCTTTAAGGAAAGGAGCCAAACTGGTGCTGCCGGATACAAACAAGCACCAAGGTAGCATCTCTAGATTATTATGTGGCTGCATTTAATGTCTCAAGCAACTAGTTGCTTTAACAAGGTGCCAGAAGTATTAAGCTCCCACTGTTTCTGCTAAGCACCTTGTGATTTTGAGATCTTGTGCTGTATTCAAGGTGTACTTTGGTACTGGGCAGAGGATGTATGTCAAAAATGCACATATATCCTCTGACTTTTTATGACACGGTAAAACATTTGTGCAAAAAGAGAAACTGAGAATGAAACAACAGCAGTGTGCGACATGGGGACAACATTAACATCCCCTCTCCTACGATGGCAACGTTGGTTTCCTCAACATAAATCACAAATCACCTGCCGCAGTTTCTGTAGAAGGAACACCCCCCCCCCCATTTAGAAAAGAAAAGAAAACCAACCTTTTTGTTGTTTCCTGTCACAGCTGCAGTCACCAATTGCCCCCAGGAGTCTTCTGGCCAAATTCGCATGGTGATGGTTCCTCCAGGAATAATGTCATTATGCTTGAACATAGAGAGGTCACTGAGATCCACTGCGGGAGGAGATAATTCAAAAAACTTCAGAAGGTTGAAAGGCAAAAGATGACGATCGAGATGCGAAAAGGAGGGTTGAAAGACCAAGATCAATTTGTGGGGCGGAAAGGGAGCAAACATCAGTCCACTTGAAGATCTCAGGGTGACTTGAAAGGCACTGACATTTAACAGCTACATTTTAGGGTGTGAATTTATGGTTTCTCCCTAGTCCCTGTAATATGCACAGGGATCACCTGTGCCTCCACAAAGCATCCCTAGTCCCTAGTCCCTGTAATATGCACAGGGATCACCTGTGCCTCCACAAAGCAGCCATTTAAGCCAGCCCTGAATTTTGAGCCATCTATACACAGCCCAGGGTAATCTGGGTATCTCGTAGAAAGGCAATTAATTGTTGTTGTGTTGTTGTTGTTGTTGTTTTTTAAATCAAAACATTGAAGCAACCAAGAAGAGAAAACAAAGAAGGTTGTCGCCAGTGTGGTGCACTTAAGTGCTAGACATGGATCTGGAAGACCAGGGTTCAAATCATAGAATTGTAGGGTTGGAAAGGACTCTGAGAGTCCAAACCCCCTGCAATGCAGAAATATGCAACTGTCCCACACAGGGATTCAACCGGCAACCTTGGCATTATCATCAGCACATTGCTCTAACCAACTGTCATGCAACTCATTGAGTGGTGTTGGGCCAGTCATTGCCTATAGGTCTACCTATAGACAATATAGGAGAGAGCCAGTGTGGTGTAGTGGTTAAGAGCTGTAGACTCGTAATCTGGTGAACTGGGTTCGCGTCTCCGCTTCTCCACATGCAGCTGCTGGGTGACCTTGGGCCAGTCACACTTCTCTGAAGTCTCTCAGCCTCACTCACCTCACAGTGTTTGTTGTGGGGGAGGAAAGGAAATGAGATTGTTAGCCGCTTTGAGACTCCTTAAGGGGAGTGATAAAGCGGGATATCAAATCCAAACTCTTTTTCTTCTTCTTATCTCACAGGATTGGTTTTGTATGGGTAAAGTGCGGGGGCTGGGATAGAGAGAACAATGTACACCATCATGGGTTTATTGGCGGAAATGTGGGATATAAAGGTTATATAATTTATTTTTAAAATGGATTTTTAAAGCTAGAATTCTGGCCAAACTTTAAAGCAGTTCACGACAAGAGTCTCTGCAGGAACAGCCAAACCTTTTTGATTGTTCTAGATTCTGACCACATTCTTTCAACCCTGTCTTCAAACCCATATGGTCTAGGGTTTGCTATGATTGCTTAATGGCAGCAGAAATTACCAGCATGAAAATTCTGTGTCTTGTACCATAATATCCTTTTTCTCGTGAACATTTGTTTCTTGGTCAAATAATGACTTGCTTAGTAAACTAACCCACCCATGTACAGTTAAGCGATCTCAAAACGATAGATTTAGGGAGGTAGAACTGCAAATGTTGTACTGGATCAACTGCAAAACAAATTGGATCAACAGCTAAACAGTCTACAAATTCACGTAACGTATTTTATAACAATTATTAAAAGCAAACAGCTAATGATGACTCCTAAAGCAACTAAACATAAAATATTTCATGTTATGACAACCAATATTTCTATATGAAAAAGACTATGCTGCTTCTCAGCTCCATTTGCCAGACATTACAGAAGCTAGAAACCGACACTAAAGGTTATTAATTCAGGTTCCTTGAGGCTTAAAAAATAGACTTCAAAGTTTGTGGGCATTGCCTGCAAAAATCTTAGAAGCCAGAAAGGGGCAACTGAATAAAATTTTAAGTGATTAAGGATAGGGCATCGGTATCTTTGCCCCTCTCAAAACTAGAAGAACCAGAATTATACAAAAAAGTAGGGAATTGTACGAAATGAAATTATTTATATTGGTATAATTAATACAATTCAGCTTTCCTTAGCACAGAATCTGGATTGCTTGTGTCCAGAATGACACTTTAATCATAGAATACATACAGCCCAGGCTGTATATGTGGCATATAAAATCATATAGTCATGAATGTTACAATACTTGAAGCTGGCAATAAACAGGTAACCATCAATACAAAGTCGCCCTTTTTGGTAGACAGCTCTTGAAACTATAGTGGTACCTCGGGTTAAGTACTTAATTCGTTCCGGAAGTCCGTTCTTAACCTGAAACTGTTCTTAACCTGAAGCACTTTAGCTAATGGGGCCTCCTGCTGCCGCTGCAACGCCGGACCTCAATTTCTGTTCTTATCCTGAAGCAAAGTTCTTAACCCGAGGTACTATTTCTGGGTTAGCGGAGTCTGTAACATGAAGCGTATGTAACCCAAGGTACCACTGTATCCAGGTTTGGATGCCGACTCCCAGCTTAGCTGGTCTAACTCTGAAAGGTAGATTCATTTCCCGTAACACTTTTGCTGATTGTAGAAGAGGGAACTCACCTCTATCCAGGTAGTGGAGGCGTTGGAAATTCACAGGGATCCCAACTAAGAGCTCCAGACGGTTCTTCAGATTTCTTATGGTTAAGTCGCGGTGACACTCAGGCACCGTATAGACCTCATCAGCCTCCACCAGATGCAACTTGATGTTAAAATATCGGATCGGGGGAGATTGAAAGTCCCCTGGACGTAATGACCTATGCCGTGAGAAGATGCCGCCGCGAGAAGCCCCCACTCTGAGCGAGGAAGTGCTCACTGGCTTTTTTTTCTTGGCCGGCATTCTTTGAACCACTCATCAGATTGTTGCTATCTGAACCTCTAGGACATCAAAGCAATGATGTCATGACACAGGACAATGCACAGCTGGCAGATCATCAGCCAATGTGATGTCATTTTGCAGCTAGGACACACCTTTGACAACTTGCAACTGGAACTCCCAACAGATAGCAGACACTTAAATCTCCTTTCCTTCACTATGTATCCCCCACTGCTGGGAGACATAAGATATTAGGTGTCAGGGACCGTGCTGAGGAGGGCTGCACAGATGAGGAATAGCGGGAGCAGCCCCCTCCCTCGGATCAGGATCCTGAATCTTCCCAGGAGCAGTGGGACAGTATAGATTTGGAACAGTGGTTCACAGAGGGACATAGTTCAGAAGACAAAAGTTGGGAAGAACTGGGTGGTGGACAGCTAGGAGAACTGGGAGAAAGATAGTTAACAGACTCTCTCTCGCTGGAGAGCCTACATCCGCCCAGCCCAAGGTCACGATGAGCAAATAAGGTGGCAGCACAGACAGCAAAGTGGTTGCAAGATCAGGTTGCAAGACGAGGAAGTGACGAGGGTGACTGGGGGGGAAGTAGGTGTAAACCTTAATTAGGAGCACCTTTACTCCGAGAATGGACTCTCTGTTCTTTTGCTGTGATCATTAAAATCTCTTTAAATTGCAAGAGACTATTTTTGCTTTGTTCTGCTTATCCACGGCCAAAGGGAGGGAGGAAAACGTTTCCCCGAAGCTTGACATTATGGGGTGCCTGAGATATTTTCAAGGTAAAGGTAAAGGTAAAGGGACCCCTGACCATTAGGTCCAGTCGTGACGACTCTGGGGTTGCGGCACTCATCTCGCTTTATTGGCCGAAGGAGCCGGTGTACAGCTTCCAGGTCATGTGGCCAGCATGACTAAGCCGCTTCTGGCGAACCAGAGCAGCACACAGAAACGCCGTTTACCTTCCTGCCGGAGCAGTACCTATTTATCTACTTGCACTTTGATGTGCTTTCGAACTGCTAGGTTGGCAGGAGCAGGGACCGAGCAACGGGAGCTCACCCTGTCACAGGAATTCGAACCACTGACCTTCTGATCGGCAAGTCCTAGGTTCTGTGGTTTAACCCACAGCGCCACCCACGTCCCCTATTTTGAAGGTTGCCCTATTAAATTGCTTAGAAGGGTTCGCTATGTTATGGTGCAAGTCAAGTTAACAAAAGAAAGAGAAGTTTGGGAAAACAGTCATTGGATTTATTGAGATAAATATGAATAAAAAGTTACATAGATTCTATGTTTTGACAAAATCAGCGGCACTTCCAGAGTGTCTTCATCTATTCTGGGTCCTAAACATCACCTTTTACAGACATACAACTGCCACTTGGGCAGGATTCCAGGAGGTGCCAAATTTATAACCACATACAGCAGATAACAGCAGGTTTGATTTTGAGGCAAAATGGCTAGCGTGCTTTGGATTACAATATTTCAGTATTGCACCACTTATATTTTTCGCATCCCTTATCTAAAAGCAAAATCCTTGCAACTTTTGTGCGAGAGGGATGGCAACTTTTGCTCCTTGTGAGGTCCACCAAATTTCTTTTTACATAATTTAAAACAGAGTGAATGAATATGTTACTCCACAGCATATGTCCATCTGCCCAGAGAGTGATCTATAAGGTGCTGTCATCATGCACAAATTACATTGGGGAGCAAGTCAAGAACCGTTGCTGCCCCCTTTTCAGTCATTTCAGTTGTTTATGCAGAAGCGACAAATAAGCCACTGTGAAATGAATGGAGGTTGTGACAGTGAAGTTCTTTGCTACTCTCACCTATTGCCAATAAGAAATGGAATGCAAAACACACAAATCGGAAGGGAGGGGGTGAGGGTTTCAATGTTGTAAAGGTGAGGTGAGAGAGGGAAAAGTCGAAAATAACTGCCCAGAATTCTCTCTCCTCAAGTGCATGCAACTCTAGATTTTTAAACACCATTTAAAAAAAACAATTTAAGAACAAAAATCCCATTTTAAAAATGGTCAAAACTCCTGGATTTAGAAAAAAGGTGCTATTTTTTAATGAAAATTTTGATTTGTTGCTTCTGCAAAATTAAGTTCAACAGCTTACTCATGCATAAGTGAAACTAACTAAACAATACCTTCATGAAAACTACTCCAACTTTCTAAAGACACATGGATACTTAGGTTATTTAGTTAGGCTAGTGTAGCAAAGGGTACCTATCAATCTAAATCTAACAACATGGCAGCCCAAACTGGATTATTTTAATGTCCAAACAGCAGACCATATACAATTCTTTTCAAACATTTCTATATACACTTAAAAAAAGATGATCAGTGCTGAAAAAAATTTAACGACCTGTTATGGTCAACAAAACTAAAAACTGGTTAGAACAATTTTAGAAAAATCTGAACTGTTAAAAAATACTTGTATGTTAGCATTAGAAAAAGATATTAAAACTACAAAAAAAACTGACATTTTGCTGAAAAACTGCAGTCATAAAAATCATTTGCATTGAAGAGGCATTTTCTTTTAAACATATTAAAACATTTAAGTGTAGAACCACCTTGCAGAATTCACAGAGTTTAAACGTTTTGTACTGAAATAGCAAGGACACATTTCTAAAAGCATTTTAGGATCTTGCAAAGCAAAACGCTATTATAAACGTTAAACACTGTATTGCAATCTGGAGCACAATATTTCATAGTATTATGTCCAGAATTCAGTAGGCAATTGTGGCAAATTAAACCATAAAATAAACAAATTGAGAAACATACCAGGAAGCAAGCTGACAATTCTGACAGTACAACCACTTAATGAAGCAAAGTTATTTGAGAGACCATAGTTATGCCCTATCTAGATACCAGACAAATGCTAAACGGAAAATATTTACTTGCTGCTAAATGTGATTTTGTCAGATACTTTTAAAAAGAGAGAGAGATTCAGTTACGCTTAGCCAAAGGTTACAGTGCTTCCTGTGAGGTTTTCTGCATTTAAATTCCAAACAGCACAATCTTATATCTTATCTACTTGGAAGTAATTATCACAAAGATCAGCGGGCCTTACTTCCAAGTTGCGTTTATGTATAATTGCGCTGTGAGGCTTGCATATTCAAGTAAAGAAAACTTGAAGAGGATACTATTTCAAAACTGTTAAGACTCTACTGCAGAACTTTTCTACTTATGGCCAAATCATAAATAAATATTAAATTCCAGCAGCAATCACTCCCCTGAATAATCCCTGGTGAAGACCTATAACATATACATAATTTGCTTCTGTACATACAGTATAATCTGGGTTTCTGGACTCCACAGTCCCTAGAGAAGTTGTTTATTATGTATTTAAAGATTACATTTTCATGGGTATCCAAAGATGGAAACTCCTGAGAATGGCCCTACAGTTGGGAACACAATGTGAATCAGCTAGTTGGTGTTTTTTAATTTTCCAGGACTCTTACCTATAGCATATGAACCATGCAATGTTCAGATTGCGCTGATCACCCTCCATTTTTCCTTTCCCATTTATATTTCCACTGATTTATATCCCTTCCAAGACAATGTTACTCTAATTAGAGTTTACAACCGTAAACCAGAATTAGTGGGAAATCCAGAGAGGTCCGTGGGCACATAGGCAACATGATTCCACACAGAGGCAGAGAGGTCTTGGGGTTCCCTTCTAGTGGTGGTCCCCCACACCAAATGGAATGCTGCTCCTAATCTTCAGAGCAGTCTTTTTGAGAAGGATGCAGTTAGAAGGAGGTGGCTGAAAAGCCCCCACGTAGGAAGAGAAGGTCACGCACAGCTCTTTGGGCAAGACACATTTTGTACTAAAATTTCCACCGATCTTGGGGGAGGGGGAGCAACTCTCAAGACCCAAAGCAGAGAAACCCAGATTCCCAGATCTCTGACCTTGCACTCATAAACAAGCAAAAGCTTTTGTGTGGTTCTCCAGACTTTTGAACAAATTCCAATCATATCCCAGGACTGAAGGCCCAACAGTCTATATCCACAAGCCTCAAACCACTTACTTTGGAGTAGGCCCAACAAATATACAAGAACTACTTCAGAGTTAGTTGTTTGAGAACTGCAGCTTATATTAATGTAACAGCTTTATCAGAAAAAGATTGAGAGATAACTGCAAGAATGAAGAAAAGCTACCACTATGAAATGAATCTCTCTCTCTCTCTCTCTCTCACACACACACACACACACAGTGACATACTCACAAACACAGAAAAACCCAAAAATGCTACAATTCACAAAAGTGAAGCCCTCTGTTGTTTTTAAAAAATGTCACCTCCACCCAGGGGGAATGAAATTTTACTTTTGCTCTAATAAAACAACTGTGCTGTTTGCTTTTTAAAAAATGGCTTACAGATATGGATTCAAGTTTTCCAAATTCTTTGCTAACTTTCTGGATGAATTTATATAATAAAATGTGATGCCATTAGCAATGCAACAGTGAGTGTCCATTACAACAAAACGGGTGAAACTCCACATTTTCTATGTTCACTGACTATATAGCTCTGTGCGCCACTCTGAATTGGAAGCCAAGTGATTAGCCTTCCCTTGTCTCTGAGTCACCATGTTCAAAAGGCATATTCCTGTTATCTGGGGTGACGATGAAGCAATGAACGTGTACAACTTCACACAAGCAATACATAAATACTTTCTGTAGAGAGGAGTGTCCCTGCCCACATCCTTGAAAGGCAAAAAACCAAAAGCTGAATGATTGGTGGGCATTCCATATCAGTATTGCCAGTCTGTAGATAAAAGGTCAATGTGTTTCTCATTTAAATGACGGTATTAAGAACAAGCCCTTTTCCCTTCGGTTACATTGGTTGCTTGATGCTGTCCTTCCTCCAGGTTCGTTGCCAAAGCAGCAACCTGTTAGCTGAGTCATCATTTTGTGGTCCACACGGACAAATGAAGTTAATTTTGCTTCTCGAGTGAAGTAATGTGCATATTATTGTGTTTTGGTTTGATGGTGGCAAAAAAGGAAACATCCTGGTCCCTGTCCGCCTGCAGAACTAGGACAGTCTCTTCAACGGCTTCAAGGTGAGGGTTGCCAACACTTCTAAAATATACTAGAATAGGGGAGTGAAAGAGAACATTTTAGTCTGAGCCACATTGTTTAGGACTTAGCTGTTCATTTATTAGTTTTCCGAAATCTTTTAACACACTCTCTTGTCCAGATGAGCCCACAAGGGATCTTACAGTAACTTAAAACAAACAATAACACACAAATTATAAAAAACAAGAGCCAATAAAAAGTAGATACAAAAAAAAATAAAATTACTAACAGTGCCATCCATACTCAGGAGCAAGTCCCCTCAATTTCAATGGGACTTGCTTCCAGGTGAATGGGTACAAGATTGCAGCCTAAAACTATGTACAACAAGGGAAAGAAACACAACAGTGACAAAAGTCTGGAGAAACAAATGAACAAATTACAGCTTGCTGAAAGGCCATTAAGGAAAAGGCCAAATGGGATCCACTTGGGAAACTGGACTAGACTAGAAGGATATTCAGTCTGACTTAGCAGGGTTCTCCTTATGATGATATCTCAATTTGCACTGGGTTTTCTGGAACACCAGAACCAGGAAGACACAAGTCCAACTGATTAATTCAGGGGTCAAAGCTGTGAACCACAGTAGGATGTATGTGTTGTAACCATCTCTATAAAGGCCTTTGTTGAAAAGGAATGAACAATTGAAATGCTCAAGTTTTTCAGATTACAATACAATTGTAATCCGAAACAAGTAGCGAAAGACAGCACTTATTACTGAACTATGGAGATCACACTGCTAGAAAACAGTTTATGTGTAGAAGGAATTAGCATACCTTTCTCCAACAATGTTTGCCTCAGAGCTTTAGCAAGCAGAACCCTTACATTTGGCACGGGATCGGAAGCCAGACTTAGAAGGCTGGGTAACAAGTGTTCAACAAAATGGTCAGCAGGCATGCACTCCTCTTCAACGACTGCCTGCAAGAGAAACCCATCGCACATAAATGCTAAAACACCAAGCATCATTTTCAATAAAAGCAATAATCAAGAGGTGGCATCTGCTGTTCACTAAGTAAGTAGCTTAGGAAAGCCACAAATTCTTTCAGCTTCCATCTGCAAAAAGGAGATAATAATAATGTCTTACAGGATTAAGAACAAAAAGGGATTTCGAGAAGGTCCAAAAGGATCTCTCCAAACTGGACGAATGAGTAGTAAAGTGGAAAGTGTAATTCAGTGTAAGCAAACATAAAGCTTACACCGGGGCAAAAATGCCTAATTTCACATAAGCATCAATGAAGTCTAAACTGGCAGTGACTGGCTAGGAAGAAGACCTTGGCATCATGGTGGAGTGCTTGGAAAAAAATGACAACTCAGTGTGCTGCATTTATGAAAAAGCGATCACTAGGAAAGGGACTGAAAATAAAACTGCCAATACTACAAACAGTTCTGATCAGCACACCTCAAAAAAACAAAAGCCACTGTAGGGCTGGAAAAAGTTCAGAAAATGGGACCCAAGATGATTCAAGGGGATGGAGCAACTCCATCACAAGCAACGATTGCAGTATTTGCAGCTTTTTAGTTTAGAAAAAAAGGGCTCACTAGAGGCATACAAAGTACCGCATGGGGCAAAGTAAGTGAGCACAGAAAAGTTCTTCTCCTTCTCATATAAGTCCTAGAACCCAATGTTATCAAATTGAAATTCTATGTTGAAAGATTCAGGACAGACTAAAGAAGTGCTTCTTCACACAGTGCATGGTTTTATGATGGAATTTGTTACTCCGAGAGGTAGCAATGGCTACCGACTTGGATGGCTTTAAAATGTGGCCAAATTCACAGAAGATGAAGCTAGCAATGGATACTTGCCAGCATGGCTGTGTCCTACTTCCTGTAGTGGAGGTGACAGGTCTCCGAACACCAATTGCTAGGGGACAAAGTGTGCTTTTGGTCTTCCCTTAGGGATCTGGTTGGCCACTGTGAAAATAATGTGCTAGACTGCATGGGCGTTTGGTCCGATCTTATGATTACAAGAAGATAATGTTTTCAAGGCTCTTGGTACACCCTAAGAGGGTAACTTGAATGCAAAGTGTTTATTAATAAGAAGTATTCTCAACATCCCTCTCCAAGGAGGCACCTTCGTTTCCCTCACGGTACAGTTTTAAGCAGCAATATAGCCCCCGATACATCAGAGCACTTAAGTATATAGTATCAAAGCCGGTGAGAAAAGTGGAGAAAATGGGGGGGGGGTAATGTGTAGTAGTTAAGTGGGATGGCAGAACCTCCACTGAGAGTCTCGATAGGACTTGTTGCCAATGGATTTGAGAACTCTTTTGATGGTTTTAATTGTGTTCCTCCTTGTTCTCTCAGTCCTGAGTGGTGCCGCCTCAGAATAGGAACCAATCAAACTAAATCCTTTATCATTAAGAACCCCAAAGTGCCTTAGTATCTATCCAAACCGGCACAAATTTAAAAGGCAAAAGATTCCATTACACTGATTCAAGGTTATACATGTTCCTCCTGTTGATGTTCATGTCATAACTCCTATCCCTTTCTTACTTCACATCACACAACTCAGAGTAGCATGCACACAGTTTCCCAGGTAGTCTTCCATCCAGTTAGCTTCCATGCCCTGCTTAGCTTCAGCAGTATAACTGTGTCAAGGCAATTCTGTTCTTTATTCCCACCCTAGTCATGAAAGAAAGAAAGAAAATCCCACCTGGCAGATGAAGGCAAATGCTTGTCTTCCAACCCACTTGGAACAATGGCGGAACCTCACAATCAATTCATTAATGAAATTTAAACCCAGAGAGTTTGCACTGTTTGCATAAAATTTCTGTAATATTGCCACGACCTGGAGGGGGGGAGGAAATCAAAGGAAAAAATCAGGTCATGAATAGTAACAACTAAAGGTGGCAATGCTGGTGCAACAAATGCCTAAACGTTTTCCATATTTGTCCCTTAATAGTAATTGTTTTAGTCTTTAAATACACAGGAGAAATCACAGGAAAATTATAGTGAAAATTAGGGCAGCAAGTCTTGTAAAAGAAAATATAACATGTATAGCAAATGTAGACCCAGGGAAAGTACAAAAGGCCTACCAGCTTGAAGGAGATCCACCTGACTTCAGAAACTTTATCTGAACAGAGTGTTAGTGCAATATGCCGCAAGTAGTCATATACGTCATTGGGGTTATAGAGCTCCAGTATCAAAATGAGTTGCCTAAAATAAAAGAGAAATAATAATTTACAACACTGTCTTATTGGTAAAGAATCATAGAATTGTAGAGGAGGGAGAAAGGTTGTTTTCTGCTGCTCCAGATAACTGGACACGGAGCAATGGATCCAAGCTACAAGAAAGAAGATTCCACCTAAACATTAGGAAGAACTTCCTGACAGTAAGAGCTGTTTGACAGTGGAATTTGCTGCCAAGAAGTGTGGTGGAGTCTCCTTCTTTGGAGGTCTTTAAGCAGAGGCTTGACAACCATATGTCAGGAGTGCTCTGATGGTGTTTCCTGCTTGGCAGGGGGTTGGACTCGATGGCCCTTGTGGTCTCTTCCAACTCTATGATTCTATGATAGGGAGCCTGGGGGTTAGCTGGTCCAACCCCTGCAATACAGGAATCTCAGTTCCATCCAAAATCATACCAGACCCTGCTTAGCTTTGCAAATGTACTAGCAGTTTTACTGCTGCACCACTAGGATGGCCATTCTATCTTCTTGCTGAAGATGGGTTTAGTATTGACGTAACAGATGCCTGGTAATCTAGTTAGCTAAAAGGTTTATACTATTTCATCTAGTAGTTTACAAGACATCTGAGAAGTTTACACACAGAACCCTAAAATGAACAGCAGTTAAAAACCAAGTTATTTTAGAAACAATCTAACACCAGCTGTAAACTAGAGAGAGTTTAGAACATGTCAGACATCAACATGTCTGGATATGCTTGCCTAAACACCTAAGGATTCAAGCATGACAGCAAAAATGGCAATACAGTGAAGGCACCTGCCTATTGAGAAAGTGTTGGGCTGAGGCCACACCAAAAGAACAATTGGTCAATTTCAAGTGCACAACTGAGTGCTGTGTGGCATCTGTAATGGTGCCAGTTCCACAAATCAAAGCTGTCAAGTGAGCACATATGGGATAAAGTGGATCCTATAAGTAAGCTCTTAGAAGGCTATTATATAGCATCAATAACTGACTTGAACTTGGCCCAGTAATAAAATTGGAAACCAGTGCAGATCTCTGAGAAGAGGTGTTAGGGTCTCACTCCTATCAGCAAATGTGCTGCAGCGTTTAGAACATCAGCGAATTTTGAAAGCAAAGTACAAACTACTACTACTGTCTTATTAGACACTTTATATTTTGGAATCCACACAGCCGATATTACAACCATAATAAGAAATGTAGACGGATATGATACTTGTCACTTAGAACTGAGAACCTTGTACTGAAATTACAAGGTTCTACACTAGATGTCAGTGTTATTACACAGAATGATCGGCTGCATAGATTTATAGTCCTGCTTTTAAGTGGCCCTTGCTATAATTCAAAGCCAAATAGAAACCGGTGGCTGTCACCAATGGAAGTGAAAGCCTTGAAAAAGCTCAATATGGAGGTCAAATGGCCGAAATATTGAGAAATTTTGGAACAAGAGGGAGATAGACTGAAATTGCAGAGTTTTGAAAAACTAAAAAACAAAGTGCGAGACTGGCTTCATTATTTTCAGATAATGGAAGCATTTAAATTGGACAAGAAAATTGGCTTCCAGGTGGAAAAATCAAAATTAGAAACTGAACTGTTAGAACCCAAAACTAAGAATCTATCAAGAATGTATAACTTGCTGCTGAAATGGAACACTCAGGATGAAACGGTAAAATCGGCTATGATTAAATGGGCACAAGACGTTGGACATAACATTATGTTTGCTGACTGGGAACAGTTATGGACCACTGGTATGAAATTTACGGCATGTAATGCCTTAAGAGAGAATATTATGAAAATGATATACAGGTGGTACATAACCCCAGTCAAGCTTGCAAAAATCTATCATTTGCCCGATAACAAATGTTGGAAATGTAAAGAAACTGAAGGTACATTTTTTCACCTTTGGTGGACGTGCCCAAAGATTAAGGCTTTCTGGGAAATGATATATAATGAATTTAAAAAGGTATTTAAATATACCTTCCTGAAGAAACTAGAGGCCTTTCTCCTGGGCATGGTCGGCCAAATGGTGATAAAAAGGATAGAACTTTCTTTATGTATGCAACAACAGCAGCAAGAATACTCATCGCAAAGTATTGGAAGACACAAGAACTTCCCACGCTGGAGGAATGGCAGATGAAACTGATGGACTATATGGAATTGGCGGAAATGACTGGCAGAATCCGTGACCAGGGAGAAGAGTCGGTGGAGGAAGATTGGAAGAAATTCAAAGATTATCTACAGAAACACTGCAAAATTAAAGAATGTTAGAGTGATGTTGGATTAAAAATAAGTGGTTTCCAGCTGTACAGGATTTAAAGTTATAGATAGACTAATTAAAGATTAGGATTAAAAAAGTTGAAGGAAATGGAAATTTGGTATTTAAGAGGTAAAATTTTAATGATATATTATATTAAGATTAAAGATTGGGATTAAAAAAGTGGAAAAGAAATTGCTGGACAAACAATTTGGACTGGAATACAAAAGAGGGAGGTATGGGGAGGTCCAGAAAATAAGTAAATTCAAAAACGGAAATAAAAAGGTGATATTGTTTTTTAACTGTTCTGTTTCTTTCTTTTTTGTTTTCTCTGTTTTTTATTATGTATTGTGTATTTGTGTATTTTTTTTCTATGTTTTTCTGTTTAATCTTTCACTGAAATTTTAATAAAAATCATTTTAAAAAAAAAAAAAAAGACAAAGCCAAATAGAAACCACTAAATAGCAAATACATACAAAACCGAAACTAGTTTCACTTACTCTGCAAGCTCATAACGAAACCGCCAATTCCTGCTGTTATCCGTAACCACAAATTCTTGTAGCTGGTAAAGGTACTCACGTCTTTTGTCAGCATGAAGCAACTACCCCCACAAAACAAAATCCAAAATGAATTAATACTTCACAACTGAACCTATTAGCAACTAGCATGAAGACTAGTAGATCATATTCAATATTAATCTAGCACAATTCTGAAGCATTAAACATTTCTTTCCTAAGAACAACTTTTCCTCATTCAGGTTAAATGCTAGTCTGCTGTAGAGTTTAGTGCTGGATCAGGCCTGGACTTTAGACCCTGATCTGCCATGAAGCTAACCTGTTGACCTTGGGTTTGCCAGCTCAGACGTAACTTCATGAATAAACAATAGTTAGCATCAGACATGTGAGCTTCCACAATTTGATCCCGGTTTGTTCTTACTAAACAAGCCACAGTTCCCTAAGCTGTGATGTAATGATGAACTGTGGCTTCCTTGAAATATGAAGCATAAGCTTCCAATCTCCTCCTCTGGTACATGAAAGAAGAAGAAAGAGAAGGAAGCCCACAAACCCAAGACCGACAAGGGCTGCTCATGCAGTAGGAAACCATGGCTTCCAATTACGGCGGAACCAGACCTCAACCTAAGCTACTAAACAGGGCTCTTAGGATAAAATGGGGAGAGAGAAAACCACGCCCAGTGCCCTGAGGTATGTACACTACCCTAACAGAAGGACAATAATACAGTGGTGCCTCGCAAGACGAAATTAATCCGTTCCGTGAGTCTCTTCGTCTTGCGGTTTTTTCGTCTTGCGAAGCACGGCTATTAGCGGCTTAGCGGCTATTAACGGCTTAGCGGCTTTAAGAAAAAGGAAACAAACTCGCAAGAACTCGCAAGACATTTCGTCTTGCGAAGCAAGCCCATAGGGAAATTCGTCTTGCGGAACGACTCAAAAAACGGAAAACTCTTTCGTCTAGTGAATTTTTCGTCTTGCGAGGCATTCGTCTTGCGGGGCACCACTGTATAACAAATAAATCTCAGTTGTAATTTGTTTCTGACAATGGAAGCACAGGGCTAATATAAAGTATCCCATTTCATTCGTCATTAATTTCAAAGGTTCAAGTAGTCAAAACATTTGCAGATATTTCAATTAGGAAGCAGATCCTGATAATGCTGACCAGTAATTATTGTTTCATGTAACTTCAACTTCTTTATGCAATGTGTTCATGATTTTAAGACCAATTTAAACATTACATTCTCTGTACAGTGGCTGCCTAAGCCATTCACCAGTATCAGTGCAGCACAATACTTAAAAGCAAGGCCTATGTATGCACACTATCTACATACCAGGGTCAACTTTGCATTGGACATATATAACATTTGCAGTTAGATATTACAGAGGTTTGGGCTGGTACACAGACTTAGGGGGCCTTCAGTCACAGAGTGATACCAGTGGGACTTCTCTAAGTATGATTAACAATGGAAAATCATCCATTATGCCCACTATGAAAGTGCAGATTGGGAAATATATTTTCTTAGAGGGGCATGCCTCTAAGAAAAATATAGCTGAAACAGAGCAAACATGAACGACTTATCTCCATCTACCTTAAGGAAGTCATAAAGATGTTTAAGGATTCCAATTCGCACTTCATCCAGATCTTTTAAGAAGCCGTTGAAAATAGGCACTAGATCCGCTGCTGTTAACTGATCTCCCAAAATAACAGCCAGCTCATGAATAGAGAAAGCGAGTGTCCGACGCACCTTCCACTGTAAACAGTTAACAAAAATGAAAAACAAGACTGAACACTGCTGAGCAAATATAGCAAATTTAAGCTATCAAACCACAAGTGCAACCAAGCACAAAGCATTAGCTTTTTTTTTAAAAGGCCTCTTCTCTGTCTTGTCCTTCCAATTTCCTGAGTTGATTGTGCCAGATTCTAACTTCATTCTTGGTCTTTGAACTCAACAGAGTCCAGGAGGATAACAGGATTGGTTAGCTATGATGCCTACTGCTTCCCCCTGGCAATAGTAGAACAGTTTGCATGAAGACAGTAAAAAGTTGTGCTTTCTGGGAAGCTTTGCAAGAAGCAAAAACTTCCTTAGTCTCATTCCACAGCATAAAGTTATACCTCTGTAGAATTATTCACCAACCTTCCACCTCAAGGTGGAAACGATTAGGGCCCCAAATACCACTAGCATTGCATCTGCCAGGAATATCATTTCTTAACTCGAAAAGAATTTGAGAGGGAGGGACATATATAGCAAGTTTAATTAAAAACATAATAACCCGACTCATGCAGACACTGTATGTCATATAGATTGTTTCATTTTATCTTAAGCTACACAGAGTTCATGGAAAGTAAATGGGACATTTTATTTTTAAGCATAAAATGAACTTTGTTCTTGGCTGCATTGTGCATATGCGCACCTCTCGATATTGGCTAGGAAAGATGCTCTCTTCAACCTGCTATCCTGACAGCCTGAAGCTGGATTAGTTAAAATGAACTGTAATGTTATTATGGGCCTGTGAGGAAAGCAAGCACTTTATGGAATTTGAAAGGTTTAAGTTTTATGAAGCTTCTCCTTCTCCCAGTCCTTGTAGCTGATGGGAACTTTTGGGGCTCCGTTAGGCAAACTAGCACAGGCGAATGTGCACTAAATATCTCATGCTCCTTACAAATCTGACACATACACCTGTAAAACATGTGATACTTGACTGCCATGTGCTTTACCTGTACATCTGATGCCAGGGTCTCGTAGGTGTCTTTCAAACAATGCCAGTTCTGCCTACCAAGTGTTAAGGCCACACCAGGAAGGCTGTACGCACAGTGTTTTGCAATTTCCGTATCAACAGTCTGTGCTCGAGCAGGGTCCGTCATAGATAAGTACTGGTCCAATAAAGGCTGAGGTATGATATCCTGGAGACAAAAAAATAAATAAATTATTGATGATAATAATAAATTAAACCAGAGAAAGAATGTGTCAGCCCTGAAAGACATCTGTTCAAGTATAGCGTTCCATCTCCCCGCTCCAGATGGCAACTGCGCAGTGAAAACAAGCACGTTAAAAACAGCAGCAGTTACAGAATACACAGCAGGCCAAACTTTGTCAGCTCTGTCATGGGAAACAGTTCATACACATGAAGTTCAGATGGATATGAGTTACAAATTACAACTGAAAATAGCAATTTGTGTGCATTATTAAATTATATAGAGAATTTGTTTGTATATTTTAACTATGCAAATTATACCCATAATAAACCTGATTTAGGGCCTTGGTCACATGTTACTTTCTGAAGCTGGTGAATGAGACAGAGCAGGAAGAAAGCAGGACATGGGTGCATGTCCAAGAACGATCCACGCTCATAACAAGGCTGAGAAAAGAAGGCCTGATCAGCCTTTAAGTCTATATTCATTGCAGTTCACAAAAAAAGCTTATACTTCAGATTCTGTCAGAACCAAAATACTAAGGCTGGCTTCTAGACATGGTCTAAAATGTTTAATTTATGGGAGATGAACTTCCCTATAGCACATCATTAAGAAATAGTTGAAACAACCTGTAATTTTGATTTCTCTTCTTCATGAAGGGGATCATTCTTTTCTGCCTCTAAAGCTTTGTTGTCCCCACTGTGTTGCTCTTCTGAGTCCTGTAAAAGTGCATAATATGCATTTATGGAAAGAACAAAACAGTATCTGGGGCACCGCATTAAAATTCAGTACAACACGAACAGTGAACATCTATGTAAAAATTGAATCCATGCTGCAGTGCTAAAAAATGTAATCAAAACTATGCTAAGCCATACAAAGATGTAAGCACAGAGAAAAGGTTCTATATTCATACAAGACTTCAAAGGTTCCATGACACCCATGGGATTGTCTTGGTTTGTTACTAGCCCAGTGAGTCTAGCCCAGTGGTCTCACAGCAGCAGTTCCTCACTGGAGACTTATGCAATCCATGAATTCATGAATGCTCTGGGGGATTTTCTGACGGAGCTGGCAGTTCCACTAAGGCCCTTGTCTTGCTACTGAACGGCAAGATGCAATGGGCCATTGATGTGATCTCTTTCAATCGTATCAATAGCCCAGGTTATTATGAGTAGTTGTGGACAATGGAGCAGGCTGGATCATGCCTAGAGTAAAAAGGACATGGAACTCTGCAAAGAACTTGCCACATGAAAACGTTTCTGTTTTCGTTGGCCTATTCAAACACATAACCGGTTACATGGTTTATTGCGTTTCACTCTTTTAGATATTTTTAAATGTGATTATTCTACTTTTAATTTTAATACAAATATGTTTGCCACTCTGGAAGGGTGGGATATAAATTTGATGGGTAAATAAAAATAAGATGACTGAACATGTGTTATAGCACATAATCATACCTATTCGGTGGCAGTGAAGGTCTACTTTACTGCCCCCGCTGCCATGACACTGAGTGGTGTGAAGTTTATTAAGCTCTAACCTGGTGAATGGGTTATTACAATTCTCAAAAGCCTGCAGCAGCAGGCACCATGAGGATAAAATTACTTACCTCTGCAAAGTCTTAGATGCCACTGTTGTGATCAGTCCTGATGAAGTATCCAATGCACCACCTAGACTTTTGGGGGGATAATTTTCAGCTTCTGAGGCCTGAGGATGTGGACAAGGTGCTTGCAGTGATTTGACTAACTGTGTGTCCTCTCAATCCTTGTCAGTCATGGCTAATTTGAGGTAGCCAGGGTACGATGAATGCACAACTGCATGAGGGGTGTTGCCTGAAACCTTATAAAAGGGGCAATGCAACTCTCCTTTTGAAAACCCACCTTTGACACAGAGATATACAACCACTATAACCTGGTTGCAAACATGCCCTCCCTAAGCAGAGTGTTTGAGAGGGTAGTGGTGGCTCAGCTCTAGGCACACTTGGAGAAAAATGACTGCTAATACCACGGATGGGGACGTGGTCCTCCAGATGTTGTTAGACTCCCAACTCCCATCATCCCCAGCTAGCGTGGTCAAAGGCTGTGGATTATGGGAGTTGGAATCCATCAACTTCTGGGTCCATTTCAATCTGGATCTAGGTCTAGCTTGGCTATTTGATCGGCCAGAAGGATGGCCTTTATTAGCAAAGGGACTCAATATCCCAGCATCTTTTGATACCACTGATCATGGTATCTCCCCGGACCAGCTCTGGGTTGGGGGCAGTTTTGCAGTGGTTCTATTCTTATTTATGGAGCCTGGTTCTTAATTTGCTCTGGTACATATTGTAGAAATTTCAAAGGTTCATTCGTTCTTCTACCCCATCTACCATGATGATACTACTTTCAACATTTCCTACATCCTACTGAAGGTGCCATTCTCAGTGGCCAATCTATAATTCTCAGATTCCTTTCTCCTGGGGATCTGCCAGTCTAAGCATTTGTTTGAAGCATTGCAAGGCAAGGTCTTGGTATCTGGACTGGTTTTCAGGGGCTGGGATAAAGCCAGTACTCATACTCAGTTGTGTTTAGATAAATACACAGGCATGATTTAGTGCACTCTGCTAGTTACATTTGGCTGCTATTTTAAGTTTAGGCTCAGTGCCCTGCATTTTCAGGGTGGCAGACTACAAGTCAGACTACCGTAAGTAAGTAGAAGTATTTAGTGGTACAAAATGACTGACAAGCCATTAACCCCCCCCTCCCCTGAAAAACACACTTATTTTTCCTGCCATGACCAAAACTTACCATATTTTTAATCACAGTTGGACTGGGTGGGTTAATTGCCTCATCCTGGCTTGGCAGTGATGATAAGGTGTTCTCATTCACTGAACTGGGATCAAGGACCAAACCTGGTGTATCTTCTGGGTAGTTCCCATTAACTTCTTCATTCTGCTTGATCTCAAAGCAACCGACAGAATCAAGGTGAGCAGCTCTAAGTGCAGCAGACAGTACTTGAACCTGAGCTGATCAAATGGAACAAGTCCCATTAAGTTTGTTTTCATGCATCTCCTTTTACAAGTCCTAAAAACCTATGTCAGAAAACCCCTCTCAAAAGGAGCAGAAAAAGCTTTGAAAATTGAACAATGAAAGACTGAGAACTGCAAAACTTTTAATATTAACTTATTACACAGTAGTTCTTGAAAGGGGTAAGACCTATTCTTCACAAATTTGTCTATCAATGCCTCTGTGCCTATACGGAAATTCTATTCTCAGATACATTTTTGAAAGATTATAACTTATTTACAGATTAAGTATAGGTGGTTTTCAGCTGCAATCCTGTAAGCATTTACATGAATTCAAAAAAATTACTTCTGAGTAAGCATATGGGATTCTGCTGTGAGATACATAAAACATCACAAAGATGACAATACTGAAATTTAAAGTTCATAGATGTAGAGAAGACCTGGCCCAGGATGTTTTGGATCCCAAGCTAACACTATTTCTATTTTTAGTGCAATAACTAGAACCTCTTTACTGGTCCTAATAAACACATTTCTACTTTGGCCTGCTTTGCCCTCTGCTCTCATTTCTTATGCCTAATTTATTAGATCCTATTGTGTTATCATATATACCATACATCTTGGTTTTACCAACAGCTACTACTGCACAAGAGAGGCTTAATTTTGCCTTGGTGATCAGCTAGGAGAAAGGTGACTAAAGCAGCAATCCTATGGATGCTTACTGAGGAGTAAACCCTACTGAAGACTTCTGAGTAAACAGGACTGTGTTTAAATCCTGCTTTTATTTAAAGTTCAAAAAACCAGATACCTGATCTAGTTTCTGTAGACAAACTACACTAGAAGCCATTATACCAGCTGAATTCAGAGCTGATATTAGGAATCTTGAGATCAACCTTCAAAACCCTAATGGCTCTTTTTTCTTACAGAGCTGCAGTCCACTTTTAGATGCAATTCTAAACAGAAAGGAAGAAGCTGAGGACCTCAGTGAAGGCTGTACTGTGGCAGCACCCAAGTGCCAACACAACTGCCCTCCTTCCTACGACAACTCAAGCAGTAAAATGCTTTTTAGAACAGCAAGAAGTTTTCATCAAATGCTGCTGGAGCCAGACGGCACTTCCCATTTGTTAACTATAGAGAGATATAGCTGGAATGTATTGTGGTTAAAGGGAACTGCATGCAATCCTAAGACAGAATAGTTCTTCATTATAATAAAACAACTGTGAGCAACATGTTTCCCAGAGCAAAATCTTTTGAAGAAGGGTCTAAGAACACAAGAGCGTAAGATCTTACCTTGAACATCTGGGTCATCCATGTGTTCCTGCAAACTCTGCAGAACTTTTTTTATCTCACTGCTGGCAACACAATTATTACAAAGAACTTCCGACACCGGGCAGCTCTCTTCGTGTATTTCAGTTTTGCACTGAAGCAGTTCTAGATCCTGACTTATGTCAGGAAGAGGAGGACGCCAGTATAAGAAGGTATTGAACACATCCTCTGCTGATTGGACCCTTGAGTTCACTTCCTGATAACTGTTGATTTGACATTCCTTAATATCCTTGGTCACATAAGGATCAGCATTATCACTCTGAGTCAATATAGTCTGATCTACTCCAATGTTTACTTGTATGGCTGAACTGTCTTCCGTTGCATCTGAATTTGAATTCTCACAGCTAGCAGAAGGCCCGTCTGTCAGTGATTCCAATTTTTCCCCCACTTGCTCCTCTGGACTGGAAACAGAAGCAGCATTTTTAAAAAACTGAAAAAACAAATTTCACTTAAACATAGTATCTTAGGTAATACTTTAACTGCAATAATTGCAACTTTTCTCTAAAATCTTGCTTTCAAAGATGCTTCATTAAATCAGCTGGTTAGCTTCAGACCTCCTAAGATGTCCTTAACTGATACTGAGGTGTGCAAATATGACATCCGAAACTACCAGCTTTTATCACAAGGACACTTTTCTGTGTATTTTGAAGTTTATGTTATCTAAATGTTATCTGATAGAAGCCCTCTCTCACTTTATTTTAAGAACTTAAAAATATGAATTGCATTGAAACTGCAGACTAATTGATTTGAAAAACAAGTAAAAGACACCATACTACTTAAGGTATGGGTGTGTCTTGGACCAGTTATTGTCTTGGACCAAAGAATAGAGTTCAAGGTTTAATATAATCTGCAAACTATAATTTAATGTGAACTCACAACTTACTGGCTTGTTACAACATCTGAACCCAGGCTCATGGCTTGATTCACTCCAAGGAAGCCACAAACAGTAACTAAGATTTGTTCTTGACTTACTGCACATGGTTTATTGGGGGTGGGAGGGGGACCACGAACCTGGGTTCAGGCATCACAGCAAGTCAGATCTTGGCTTGTGTCCTAACAGCAGTGGGATGGAGGAAGACCCATGATTTAATGTCACATGAGAACTAGGCGATAAACTAAATTAAGCCAAATCACTGTACCTGGATGGCATGTCATTTGCATTGTTGCCTGTTGGGCATGGACTGGAAGGCCGGATACTAAGCGTCCCATCCTCCCGAATGTAAAGACCAGCACTGGAAGGGTTTGCAAAAGTAGAAATAAAAGGCCCGAGGGACTGGAAAGCAGCTTGACGAACCTACGGTATTGGAAAAGTAAGAAGACACAACTGGCTTGATAACTATACTTCTGGAGACAAGTGTACACTTTGCTGTTCCAATATGATTCCAAAGTATCCCAATCAACTAAATGGAAGGCATTAGGGCAAGGATAATAGTATACAGTAATTTCACTGCCAGAATGAGGCAAGTTTTAACCGTTTCAGGGATTTGGACCAATGTCAAACATCAAACAGCTAGCTATAAGGCATCAACAGATATCATGAGAATGCAGCTGCACATTGTTTTGCATTATATGGGTTACTTACTGGAAGGAGGGGAATCCATTTCTGAAACGTAACAGGTAATTGGTGCCTGGATTAAGTCCACATTCTCCCCCAAGCAGGTGGTCTGTTGTGCTTTCAAAGCTAGCAACTGACCAGCTACTAGGCACTTCATATACAACTCTCCAGTCTAGCAGGAGAAAATGCACATGCAGCCCCAGATGCCTGGGCTATGAACATTCAGCAACAGAAATCACACATGGTATTTATGTACATGTCAATGAGTCAGTCCAGAAAGAGATCACTGAGACTGAAGTTTCCTCACTCAAACAGGGTGCTAGAATTCATAGCCAACACTTCAAGAATGACATTTCATTCATCTCAAGTTAAGGAGCTTACATCAGCAGAAAAATCAAACACACTACTACACTTTGGTTTAAAAAAAAAATAAAAGGAAAAATATCAGTATGAGACATATTACTACTTGTTAACAAATAAGATAATGCTTTGAGGTAACTAATAGTGCTTAAAAACCTAATTGTTAAAGAATAAAAATAACTTTTGAGCAAACTATAGGATATTATTACGAGTATGGATTTAACAAAAAAATACACCAAGATAATTTCCTTTGAACCTTAGCATAACAGTATTACTTTTATGTTTTGCAGCTAAGGACTTATGCCAAAGGCTTCACTGAAGAGATGTGTTTTGAAAAAGTAAGATGGTCCATCGGGACCATGAACATTTACAACAGAATAAACTCTAAATTAGAAGGGCTGTCACAAGTCATCTCTGTATGGAAGCAAAAGGAGAAAGCTGATCAATATGCAATCATGAAGAGTTGATTAAAGTCTGCTTTTGACAGCTGAACTACTATTTGCTTGCTTAAAAAGCTTCCATCATGCATCAGCTAACAGAAACAGAGCTTTAATGACTTGCAATTAATTAGCTGAGAGGAGCAAGTCAAATAAAACATTCGATAATTGTCACTTGAGCTAGTCATGGTCATTTATCAAAAGACAGAAAAGTACAACTGCAATTTAAGATGGACTAATTCACTCTCTACTTACCCATCTGCAAGGGTCACTGATGAGACTAATAAAGAGGGGAGACAGCTTGCTTCTCCTAACTTCAGGTGAAATGGTGTAGGAGACAGCCATAAAGCATTCAGCACAAGCTTTTCGCATACCCCAAACGCTATCAGAGCAGAGCTCAAAAAACTTCGGAATCTACCAAAATAAAGACATATCAGATCAAACAGTTCTAAAATAGCAATTTTACTGATTGCACTGCAGCCCTCAACACATCTACTGTGAAGACATTTACTTCCAAATAATTATTTGAGGTTTCAAGTAAGGGTTCTCTTTTGAAAACATCATTTGGCTAGCAGCTTCTAGCAAACAGCAGCAAATGGCATCAAGTTAACAAATAAATTAAAGGATTCAGGTTTATTTTGGTAATTTGGTAATTCTGGCTACAAATACTACATGTAGTTGCACATAAACAGATACTTATGTCACAGAAGAAAGCTAAGCTGCCTGAGACCGTCAATCTGATTTATTTCAATCCGTGAAGAGAAGCTGACAGCAGGGTCAGATACCTTTACAAATATTAATGTCCTTTCAGCAAGGCTTAAAGATGGAATGCTAATGCTGAAGGATTATCCTTGCAAATTGAAGTTATCAATAGCAACCACCATGGCTAGCTAAAGATCAAGCACGACAGTTTTAGCTTGAGGGAGAAATCTGACACATGGATGAATTTCTGAGACTTTAGTTTTACAAGTCTCAGGGGGGAGGAGAGAGAAAGATAGAAAGCAAGCTGCTAGCATGGGATCAAAACAACCTTCTTGTTACAGTGCTGCTATGAGCACGGGTTGCTGTTTTTAAGTAACATTGATGTATTCTTCAGCCATCCAACACCCACCCAGTATCATATATTCATAAGCCGCATTATGTGTGTGCCTTGGTGCATTTGATGGAGTTGCTCCAAGGTTTGATTTCAAGGGTGTCCAGAGACAGTGCATCAGACACACTTCATCAAAAGAAAGCATGCACTTCTGGATTCTCTCTTTTCCTTAGAGGTTTGGCTTAAACCAGTTCTGTGTTAAATGTATTAAAAGCCCTAAATGGTTTAGGACTAGGTTCCCTGAAAATCACCTCTTCCCACATTTGCCTACCTGACCCTAAATATATTCTTTAGAGGTCCTGTCCAGGTGCCCTTACCAAGTGAATAGATGTAGCTGATTATCAGAAAGACAGGCTTTTGACGAGTGGCATGTGGGCTACAGAATAGCCTCCACAGAGAGGATAGCCTGACACCTTCTTGATGGTGTTTTTAGTGCTAGATGAAAAAGCTTTTATTCACCCAGACTGCACATTGTTTTATTATATTGTCTGAGCAGTTAGGAGTTTCCCCCCTGTTTTTTATTGTGGATTTTATTGATTATCTGTTGCATTTTTAGTATTTAGATACTTTAATATGTAAGACTCTTTAATATGTAAGACTTTAATATGTAAGATACTATTGATGGGCTGCTCTATAAATTTAATGAAATGACATAGCTTCAAGACCCCAAACCTTAACATACCAAGTTCTTTTCTGTGGCTTCTTGCCCCACAGCATTGCAAATGTCTCCAAAGTTTGCTGCACAAACCTAAAACAAGAGAAACAAAAACTTGGTTTGCTTTTATGTATCAATTCTGAATCTGTATGTCTTTCTTTAAACTGATCAAATTACAGTCCTTCACAGAGTAAGAACTTGTTTTAGAAAGAAGCTTGCTGCCTACACTCCCAACCCAGAAAATATACTTTTATTGTATGTTTCCTACTTGCAGGCATTATTAATCATATTAACTGCATAAAAGTCTACAGGGTATGCTACTCAAATATTTTAATGCATACTAACAGCTGCTCAACACATTTAATAGAGAATGTGTGATAAGCAGGAAATGACTGAAAGGAAATATAGGATCATCAATTCTGTGGCCCTTATTCAAGAAAGCACAAGTACGTGATTAACTTTATGTACAGGTAACTCACAACTTACGTGGGGTTACATTCCTCATCATTGTGTGTATAAGCAAAACCATGTAAAGCCAGAACAGCAATCTTGCAATTATTATTTTTCAGCAACAGGTGTAAAGATGCAAGAACTTATTTTAAATAAGTGTACGTTGCGAGTTACCTGTACATTTCACTAAAGTGGAATCTATATTTTGGCCAATATATGAAAAAGAAAACGTTGCTCTTTAATGGCATACACACAGAGAGACGAGAGAAACACACTGAGTTTTACTGGTACTTACAGATGAAGATAATTTAACCTCCAAATTTGAACAGATAAATTCTAATGTAGATGCACAAATAAGTGTTAAATAATAAGCACTAACCTTCCGGACTTGAAAGAGTTTCCCATCACCACAGAGCTCACAGAATCGGGGAAGCAGCAACTGTTCAACGGTTGATTTATTCACCATAGAAGCCATTTTGCAGATTATCTAATAGGGGAAAAATATCTCAATTCTTTCTCTCCATTTAAAGTTCTCCTCTTGAAACTTAGCAGTTCTGTTAAAAATTATGTTAGACAATGTGACTTCTGTATATGAACTTCTTATGGCTTAGAAATCAAATTCAGCAGATATTTACTTATTTATTTGGTTAAAGCAATTTTTCCTCACTTTTCAGGAAAAAGAAAAAGCTCGTAGAACAGCTTACAAATATCAGTAGTAAGATAGCCCCTGTCCTTAGGCTTACAATCTAAAAAGCATAGCACAGAAGTAAAGGGGACAGGAAGTGGGGAGAGAGAGAGAAAGCAAACTCAGCTGCTAGTTCTTTGTTAAAGATTTCTTGTAACAACCAGTTGGATTAGAAAGAGTTCAAAGTTCCTGCTTGGCAGGGGGTTGGACTCGATGGCCCTTGTGGTCTCTTCCAACTCTATGATTCTATGAAAGGAGAAAAGGAGCCAAATGTTGCTAGTTTCTGAGTTCAGCCAATGGAAAGGCCTTGCTTAGGAACCAATTTTTGATTAAAATCAGGGTATAACATTCAGTTCCCTTTTTTTCCACCCATAAAAGCCTCCCATCCCTCAGAGCAAACCAAATAATTTCTGTGCATCTTTGACTGTAACACCTTTTCCAAAAGCAGAATCAGTTTTTTTCTCAAACATTAAGAATTAGAACATTTTCTAAAAATAAACATTTTAAAAATGTTACACTGCATGAATGTACTACCTATCCCAAGACTCTTGTAAAATTATTAAATTGCCAATACCACAAAAGTTCATTCAAATATTGTAAATACAAGACTCCTAAACTTTGCTGGGTTTTTTTTTTTTAAGTCTCAATATGTTTATAGAATATATTTAAAAGTATATGGTTATTAAAAATCACAGCTTCCTTCTCAAATTGTGACTGAATGCAAAGAAAGAACTTGGAGAACATTATCCTATTCTGACTTTAATGGAATTGTCAGTCCTTGAAAAAGACATAGGGCATTCAGATGCTACATTGGAAATTGGCCTAAGCAACTCCCAAACAAGAAACTGTAGTCTAGCTGGTAAAGTCATTTTATGGGTGAAGTGTCAGACAGCCATGGTAAAATGAAATTACGAATGTTCACATTTTGTGGATACACAACGGATTTCTTGCAAATGATCTGAAGAACTCAATACACTTAGGAATTAGAAAATTTAAGCAACTATTTATAGTCAAGTATAAATTTAAAAGAAGCAATAATGCTATAGATTTTTGGACACCACATCAAGAAGAAACATAGCTTTAAGATAGTACCTTTAGGGAAAATTGCCAAATATTTTAATGCTGGAATTTATAACCCATTAATAGGACTATATGTGACTACTTGGAAGGATTATATTTTCTTTCAGTTTAATTCTTTTAGCAGCTGGAAAATAAAATAACACTTTTTCCGTATTTTGACCTTTTCCTCCAAACAGTTATATTATTGGTCCATTGTGGGTTTAACTGAACTGGAATATAACAATTTTGATGGATAACAGGTTAAGATAACACCACACAGCAGTGACTTCAGAGCCAAGGAAAGAGAGTATAACATGCCCAGTTCTTCTTAAATTTCTGCAGCCGAAGAGCAACTGAAAACTAATACTGAGGCTGATATACAGTTCTTATGCGAATAAGTGGTCTGTTTTGTGGCTGCCAGTGTCCGTTATGTTGGAACTTACTTAGACTTTTTAAATTTGACAACATATTTCAATGTGCTTTCAGAACAACTGGGTTTTGTTGACATTAATCTAGGATTCCTCTTTTTTTAAAGGAAAGCAGGAGGAGATACTAATACTTAAAAATACTTCAAGCTCCTACAGACTCAATAGTCATGTTTGCATGTCATTGTAAATCATAACTATGGGTTCACCTCTACTCCTGTGATGGGAGGAAACAAACTGTGGTCCATGGCATAGCATTACAGAGAAACCAGGGGTCATGATTTATTTCACTCCCAACAAACTATGATCTCCAGTTAAAGTATGCTCTTAGTTTATTAACTACAGTTTGCTGGGAGGAAAACAAGCACAATCTCTGGTTTAGCTGTAACACTAAGCTAGAGTTGTTTTCTCACAACACCAGCTAAATTTCACTTGTGCAAGATAAGCAAGGTTTATGGCTTACTGTAATGTGCGGATATGACCCATCTCTAAACTCTAGATCAACAATTTGCAATGGTGGACTGTAAACTATTTGCAGGTCACAGAATATTCATGAGGATGACACAGCAGGTGGCAAGCAGCTTGTGCTGAAAGTAATGTGTGAAAAAGGAGTTGATTTGTGACTCCCTAATCAGAAAAAATGATTGATAGATCCTTCCAAGAGATAAATTTTATGAGTGGGTTCTTTTAGTAAGCAATATGGAGGCAAAGAAATTGGCTCTTCTGCAGTGGCCTCATCATTGTGGAATGCCCTCCATAGGCTTTTTTTTTTTTTAAGTGTTCTTGTGTGTTTGTTTTTAAGCTACACCTCTCAGTCAAAGATAATTTTCGGTCCCTCTAGTACAGGGGTTGGCAAAGAAATTTAGCCGTGGCCGCTCCACTGTCCCTCAGATCTTGTGGTGGGCTGGAGAAGTGGCACTGTGGGGGAGAGCTGGAAGAAGAGGCGAGGGGGGCAAGTAGTCATCCTCCCCACCCCCCACCCCCACCTCCAGCTGTTGCGCTTACCTTCCCTGGGGCTGCCACCACCACTGCTGCTGCTGCTTCTCGTGGGTAGGCAGAGCAAGCTCGTTCGCTCCACTCTCTGGCCCACAGGAGCACCAGGTGGCGGAGGGAAGATGAGCGGCGTGAAAGAGCTGGCTCTGTAGAGGGGCTGCTTAAAATGGCGCTCAGCTAGCTCAGCCCAGCCCCCTTCCTCCTCTAGGCAGGGCGGGGAGAAGCCAGGAGGAGGGAGGGAGGAGGCGCCACCGCGGTGTTTGTGAGGGAGAGGGGGGAAATGGAATGGCACAAGGGGGGAAATGGCACAGCCCGAACGAACAGAATCCCCATGCCGATCCAGAGTCCGCGGGCCAGATCCTGAAGGCAATTGGGCCTGATCCAGCCCATGAACCTTAGTTTGCCAACCCCTGCTCTAGTACACCTACACAGAGGCCCTCCTCACATTACCAGCTTGACACCCGAATGCTAAAAAGGATGAGCACTCTTGTACTCAGAAAGTCCAATAAAGAGATTATCCTACAAGTGCCACATTTCCCCTTCCCTTATTCACCTTAGAACTCACTTCACCTGTAGGGTGAGGTCAACAGGGGCTAAGCCTGGTCATGTGGCTCATACCGACTCAAGCACATCTGGCACATCCTTTACTCCTCTCTCTCTCCTTCACTGTATCGTCACTTAAACAACAAATTTAAAACTAGACCAGTCAAGAATAAGAAGCCAATAACAAAGACTGAATTACACCTGTATAGTCTTCAGTTATTTAACTTTGTACAGATGTACAAACTTTGTACAGATGGTAGATATAGGACTTTGTTCCCTACTGCAAATTTAGAAGAATTTCCAAATGAAAGACAACTGCTACTTACGTTTACAGCTTCTACTTTGTATTCATCATCACTCTCAGGAGCAGAAAGATCTAACAGGATTGGACACACTTTATTTTCAATATCATATTGACCGATAAGACCTTGTTCCAGTAGTATGAGTAGTGAATCCTGGCTTGCTTTTCTAACCTATCAATGTACAAAGGATAAAATGAAAACCAGTAAGAAAGAATTTCCCCCCAATATGCAAGAAATGTTGCAGTAGCAGCAGCACTGAAAATCGGAAAAGCTAATTCATGTTCTTCTGCATTTGATAACTTATCACACTGCCTTTTGTTTGTAAAAGTATTATTATAAGGGCACTGTGAAAAAGGTCATCTCAGATTCAACTCAATCTAGCTCACACAGAATACATGTGAGCACCAGAGTTACATCCATACACTAGAACTGCTAGATAAGGTTTCCTGCTAGCTAGAAAGATTGCTTATTGTGGCCTTCACACACGCTCATTTAGATATATTAAATTGGAAATGTTCAGGAACAGTCATTTCCTGAACAGTTATTGAAAGATAACCTCCAAACTCACATCTATCTTAGATTTGTACACTTGCTTTAAAGAGTATATCAGAGCTACAAATGACCACCTCCCTATGCTAATCTATTATTATTATTATTAATAATAATTTCTTTTCTCTACCGCTTTATATTTTTAAGAAAAATCTCAAAGCAGTTTACAGCATATTAAAACATCAATAATACAATCCAGAATCAAACATTTCTGAAGAAAGTCAAATATAGAGTATACAGTCAAAGCAACAAAATTAACAGAAAACTAAAATATTATCTTAAAGATTTCAAAATAAAACATTACAAAAGAGGTCAACTACAGAATACATATTTAACACAAAGTTGACAAAAAAAATTAAGAGCTTTTGTCACATCATCACTTAATTTAAGATGGTAGAAAAAAGCTATTACCTTGGGTAGGAGATGTAACAAATCTAATGCAAGAACCTGAATATGACTCAAGGAAAATAGCAAGAGTGCAGGACTAAAAATGGGGGTTTCCTCACTTATCTATATAACTGTTATTTATTATGATGGCAACAACCTTAAATCAATCCACCCTAGAACTATCTCATATACTCTAATGATATAAACAAGCCTCTTACTCACATCTGCAGAAACAGCTACCACCTGAGAAGGAATTCCAACTTGCTAATATATTTAATACTGTGCCAGTTGCACTGACTGCCTATTTGTTTCTCAGCTCAATTTAAAGTGGTGGTTTTGACTTTTAAATCCCTAAATAGTTTGGCATCAGCTCCCATGTGAACCTCCTTGGGTTCTGAGATTATCCTCGGAGGCCCCTACCACCAAGCAGACTAGCAGGTACCAGACACAGGGCCTTTTCATTGACAGCCCCATTTCTTTATAATTCTCTTTAAGCAGACATTGAAAACTGTATTGGTTTTGTTTCGCATTTTATTGATTTTTTAAAAAATGTAAACATAACAAAAAATTATGCCTTAGTTTATGAGAAGAAGCCATAGCAAGTCTTGGGCTAGTGCACTCTCCTTCCATTGCACAGAAAGGATGAGCTCGGAAACTTGAACTTTTTTTCCGATTAATGGCAATCCAAACTCTGAACTATTGTTTATTGAAACAAGCTAGCTTCATGAACTATTTTTTGAAGCTGGCTTGTTTCAACAAACCATAGTTAACCACAGTTTGTCCAGGTTTGGATGTCACAATAAATTGGTTAATCTAAAACAAAAGCTAAAGCTTTCAAATTGCTCCTCACTGCTATGCAGAGGAGGACAAGGGAGCGTATGAGCCTAAGGCTCACCACAGCTCATTCTTGTTAAATCACAGTTTGCCACTGTCTAATTAAGGGTCTCCAATTGAAGTCATTGTTATTACACTGGATAACAATCTTAAGTCCAGAATTTTTTTACCTGGTTATTTGGATCTGTGAGATATCTCACCACAATAGGCATAAGGTATTCAGAAAAGGAGGTAGGAAAGTTTGGTCTACTCTCCTGTAGAAAAATAGCAATGGGTGGTATCTGCTCCATTAATTCTGTCCGTACAGTAGGCTCTGGGGATTTAGAGAATAAAGTGACAATGTTAGCTGATTTGAAAGTGGTAATCATATGCATTCAATGAACAGAATGTCCTGCATTTGAATATAGCAACTTCTATATAAGCAGCAAAATCTTTTGGAATTACAGAACTTAATAGTGGCACAGGACAATAAATTCATTTTTAGCAATGTGAGCTAAAGAAAATACTTCACATGCAGAAGATCATAGATTCAATCCAGCTATCTTCAAGTAGAGATCTGAGAGTTTCCTGTTTGCAACTCCAGAGAGCCACTGGTAGTCAAAACCTGGCTGATCTAGATGGACCATGCAAACAACCATATGCAATAGTATATCAAGAAAGAACTGGAACTCTCACCTGTATCTTCAGCCAGTCGGACCACTATTGCCATTACTGTCAAGTAATCTTCTTCATTGTGACTGAAATCTCGAAAGACATCAAGTAGACCCCTGGCAATGATTTGCCTGTAAAGGCAATGTTTTTGAAAATAATAATAATAAGAAGAAATATGTAACCCAAGCATTGTGAGCAATATAAAACAGTGGAATCTGTTCAGTTCCATGTGTGGGTGGTCTACTGACGTAAGGTGACTTTTTAAATATTTACAATGTAATGCAACATAGTGCAGCTTGGAGATTTACATAACAGAAGCAAAAGTTGGCCACAATGTTCACTGTTCGGAAAAATATGAAAACATGCCATAGGGTTGTACTAAGTATAACCTATAATTACGTCTTTAAACATCTTGTTGTGGCTGGTGCTTTGCTCTGATACTACTGGAGTTTGGAGAATGGTAGGGTTGCCATATGTCTGGGCAGAAATCGCTTAAAGAAAAAGAAAGAAAAAAAGCTCAGCAACTTTTGTGTCTGGATTTTCACTTTTTGAAATATGGCAACCCTAGAGAATTGGAAGGTGGCTTCATTCACTGCATCTTCCCCTTTGCCCTGATTCCCTTCTCCGCTTCTGGCCCACTCCGACCATAGAAAACATTTGAAGCTGTGCTGTTCAAAAAGCTAAGCAAATTATACCAAGGAATCAGAGTTCAAATTGCATGAGAGCCAGAGGGGTACATCCACTTAGCTATTTTTTAAAAAAGGCTATTGGTTGGTGGGCACAACGTGCCAAGATAGCAAACGTCTGGGGGAGGGGCCCTTATGGATGTAATTAAGGTTTTACCTCCCCACCTATCTGAAGGTTTTTGCTTTACAATCAAGCAGTGCATACAATTTACAAAGTAAATAAAAAGCAAATTACAGGGAAACAGCTAAAAAGAGGAAATTAAAAGGAAGAGAATGAAGTCAGACTGGGATGTGGAGAAAGAAAAATTGTTTGAGGGCAGTGGTTGGTGGCAGAAGCTTGCTACCCCATTCTAAGAATGTGGGGAGTTCAACCTACTGAACAGAAACACTGAATATACTACATTAATACAACACAATATTATTCTTAAAAATATATGTGGTTAAATCCTATAATAAGAATGTTACCTGCACTGAACATCTATGAAAAGGAGAGAAAAATGAACATGACAACATTTGCATAATTATTTGCATTGTTACCTGTTAAATATATTATCACTAAAAGCATATTTTTCCAGACGTGCAAGTGGAGCCAAGTTATCCTGTCCTGGAATGTCCAAGAATGCAGTTATCCTCATGCTATCACAATCTGGTCCATAGTCTTCAAACCCAACTTGAAGGGAAGAAAAGTAGCATGTAAGCAAGGAAAAAAATAAATTATCAGCACCAAATTTTTCTAGTGGGGAAACCTTAAGTCTTTAAATCTAATCCACAAAAAATAACAAGGTTGCCAATTTTCACAACCTTTGGCACTTCTTAAAGCCTAAACTAATGAGATTTGTGATAAAACTTTTAAGGAATTCACATGCTGTAACTAGCTCTTATTAGTGTAGAGACTGGCTTGGTAAGACTGGAATGAACTTGGAAATAAAGGGGTCAACACGCAATTTACAACTTTTAAAAAAATTTGAATTTAAAGGGATTCTCTAAAGTCAGACAGTTGGAAAAGTTGTTCAGTGAGGCACTAAAAGATATATACATTTCAGTTACTAATATACTGATACCATAATATCCTCCTGATTTATCTTATTACATCTGTTTTATATCTTTATTTGGACCAAACATATCCAAAGCTTCTTCACAGTGTTTGAAACTCTCATTATTCTAGGTGCATTTTGTGACAGGGAATTTCATTAGAACAAACAGTTTCTGAGCTCCTGGTGCAGTACTGTGCCTTAGATTTCAGATTAAAACTACAGAGTGGAAGGAAAGGAGGACCTTTTTCTGCCCTCCCACTACCAGTTACTCTCTGAAAACTGGAGAAGAAACTTTTTAAGAATATTAGGGGGGTGGGAAGGGGAAGGACTAAACTATGTGAAAAATGAACATAATATTTTAGTTGCAGTTCATTCATTTTCAGCTTTGCATTCTTTTTAATAAAAAAGCACGCCTAGACATTCCGTTGTTGCTCCCATAACCTTGGTTTAAGGTGCCATTTAGCTCCTAGCTTTCATATCTCAGCTTCTAACCCTGCTTATTCATGAACACCGATTCACAAATCAGATTTGAACCATAACAGCTAAGAACAGTATTTGCACAGTACTTTTTGACTGTTCGGTGGAGTTTATATACAACCTCAACTATCCTTACAACAAACCTGTAAGAAAAGGCAGCATTTTTATCTCCATACAGCAGGTGTGGACTGGAGATAATGGTTTGCATAAGGCACCTTAATAAACTCCTGGGTAAAGTGAAATTTGACCCAGGAATTTATCTGATCACATTTTTGGCTATCACTTCCTCACTTAAAGGATCCTCTGTCTGACCAGTATATTTCTGTCTGAGAAACTCCCCTACTCAAGCAAACTTGTGATTATTTATTTATTTCCAAAGAAGCTTAAGAAAGATACAAACAAAGCAATAAATGGGGGCGGGGGGGGGGGAGAGATCAAACACACAATTTCAAAATCCACAACTAATGCAAAAAATAAAATAAAAAATGCTTTGGCCAATACAAACTAAATAGCAAACATTGAAAACCTGTGTAAAATAAATGGTCAACTAAATGATGGAAGAGAGGAAGCCTGATACATCTAATCAGTGAGGGCATTCCCAAATTTCGGTGCCACCACTGAAAAGGCCTTGCTCTTTATACCACCCAAACCTCAATTAATAATGGGATAGGGAACAGGGCATCTGAAGCTGGTCAGGCAGTTACACTTAGGAAAAGCTTCAGGCTGACATTTTTAACAATAGGTTTCTGCTTGCTGGTCTCCATATTTAAAATTTGTTTGTAACCGATCAACCACTACTCTCTTGTATAACTTAGTTTGCTTATTGTAATTGCATTAGAAGTTTTCACAAAGGCAAATGTCATGATTCTTGCTTTGATTTATGGGTAGGGGAGGGAAAACTGTCAATTGAAGTATGGAGTGGAGGGAAAGAATGTGTTTCCTGCTGCTATTGAATTGATTATTACTTAAACATCTCTATTGTGTATTACCAAAAAAAAGGTGCATGTTGTAAAAGGCAAAACTAGCCAATTATACTTGGTTAACAATGCAATAAATAAGGTGCTTGTTTTGTCATCTCTGGAGAGTTAAAAATGAGTTCCAGATGCAGATGTACCAGCCAGTGTGCTCTATTGCAATTCCCAAACAAGAGGGATATGCTATACTGTTTGGAATGTATGAGTATGTCTGCCTATGCATTCTCTCACAATGGCAGACAGATAAGAACACTTAGATGCAATGGAAAGGTTTCAGATCTTTAAAGATATACATCTGTTAGGTGATATACAAAGCCTGCAACTAGTTACAAAATGAGGAACTGAACTATTTAAATACAACTCCCAGATTAGGCCAAGAAACAGTGTTAGATAACGAAAATGTTTCCCATACCTACATCATGTTTTAACTAGCTGCACACAATTAATGCCTTGAAACTAACCTAAGAAGTTGGAAACCAATTTTACCCAACCCAATTTCTTGTCTTAAATAGGAGCCAACAGGGTGGGTGGACCAGATGAGTAAGAGATCTGAAAGCCAGAAATGTGTGTTGTATGTGAGAGAAGCCAATACAATCACTAGAGATAGGTATGATATAGCCACTGCAGTGTGATTTTTAAAAAATGAAAGATAATGAGTCACCTTTTTCAAAGCAGGCACAAAGTGGAAAAGCTGTTAGTTGGCAAAATTATGAAGGAAAGAAGAGTTTGCCATAATGTCTCAGGACAAAGGAGTGAAATGCAGTAGCTAAGCATCTTTGCAAACTATGTTGCCAAAATGGCTGACCAAGGTGAAAGCTACCTTAGATGTTAATTTTCCTTAAAAAAAAGAATGGAGAAATCTGGGTGTGGGGAGGAGAGAACAGGCATATGTCACATCTGAAAAACCAGAATCTAACATACAAATCCTGCCAAACTGTTTTGGTTTCCCCTGCCACCCTTCAGTACTGAAGGCTTGCCAAAACTACGTACCTCCATGCAGCTAGGGGAAGCGCCTCTGGAAGCAAAGAGCAAATGCAACCAGCAACAGCAATCTGCTGAAAATAGCAGAGCTGTGTAGCACTCCTGCCTAAATTCTCACTCTTTCCTCTTTCACTCTGGGAAAGGAAATACAGAAGTGGATAAACACAGCTGTCTTTGCAGCCATTCTTCCTGTCCTTGTAGAAAATGAGAGTATGGCAGCACCCCAGACCAGGGGCAGTTTCAATCCATCTCTAAGGGAAGGTGCCTTAGTACTTCACTGTGCTGCTACAGCTGCTGTCTACAAATACTTATTTATTAAATATATGAAAACATGTATATCCCACCTTTTAGCCCCTCACTGCCAAATTACCACATGTATATCCCACCTTTTAGCCCCTCACTGCCAAATTACCACTATTCGTATGCAAAAAAAGAAATAAAAAGAGTAATATTGGTGAATATCTGGAGAACCTTGTGACAAATGCAGTCCCATTTTAGGGTAGCTCTTCCCCCCACCCCAAGGTCCTAAGCATTAAGCAAGAGGTGAGGAAATTTTCCCAGCCTTCTATGCCATCTTCTGGGGCCCACATGCTAGTAGTGAGTACAGCCGGAGGCAAAAATGGATGGAACAACTTTGTGCAGTAAATTTGTTTCTGTACGCACTCACACATTCTGCTCTATCTCCTAAGAGTTCTCTCTATTAGAGAGAACTCTATTACCAGAGTTCACGGATACTTCCTAGTTAAAAACTCCCAAGAGGGTCCACAGCAGGACTAATGAGGGGCATGGCTTCGGAGAGACCCAAGGGACAAGCAGAGTGCTCTCAAGGGACATATTTGACACCCAGGCTTGAGGTTCTTCTTCCCTTCATGTCTAGTCAGGAATAAGTCCAATTAAGTTGAATGGGACTTACTCCCAGGTAATTGGGTATATGATTGCAGCCCAAGAAAGGAAATTAGCCTGCTTTTGTTACTAACATCTGATAAAGTAAGCTGGAATCATGCAAAAGAGGGCAGGAGCTCCAAGAGGAAACAGCCGTACAGTGCTGCCTGTATCAACCTCATGCTCCACAATACTGACCACAACTTAATTGAAATGCAACCAAAGCACAGGTGAAAGCAGCCAGAAGCAAGGAAAAATAAAACAAACATTAAGCCGGTGGAAGCTGCAGGTAAAGCAGGAAGGACCCAGGGGTGGGTTAAAGGTAAAGGTAAAGGGATCCCTGACCATTAGGTCCAGTCGTGGCTGACTCTGGGATTGCGGCGCTCATCTCGCTTTATTGACCGAGGGAGCCGGCGTACAGCTTCCGGGTCATGTGGCCAGCATGACTAAGCCGCTTCTGGCGAACCAGAGCAGCACATGGAAACACCGTTTACCTTCCTGCCGGAGCGGTACTTATTTATCTACTTGCACTTTGACGTGCTTTCAAACTGCTAGGTTGGTAGGAGCAGGGACCGAGCAATGGGAGCTCACCCCATCACGGGGATTAGAACCGCCAACCTTCTGATTGGCAAGCCCTAGGCTCTGTGGTTTAACCCACAGCGCCACCTGCGTCCCTAGGGGGTGGGTTATAACAATGTAAAAATACAAGATTGTAAACCGTTTTAACTGATTTTAAATCAGAAGGATATCAACCTTTGACAATTTCCCTTTTACTAAAATGAATTTGTGCAACCTTTTTAAAATACTGGCTGAATGATGGTAACATTTACAAATATGACAGATATGCAGGAACAAGACGCATTAGAGCAAAATAAGAACTGTAATGAACTGAGTGCAATCTTGGGATAAAAAAATATTTCCTGCCCCAATTCTATACAGTCTTATCTGGGAGTAAGCTGAACCGAATACAGTGGGACATACTGTATTTCAGAATAAATGTGCATATGATTGCGCTGCATGACTTTTTTCGAGACATCTGGAACCAGTCAGAAAGAAGGTTCATTTTTGTATATTTAGAAGTAAAAAAATTAGTAATCTTGTTACTATCTTGTATTTTTATGCTGTGATCTGGCCTCAGATCTACAGATGAAGGGTGGTATACAAATTTAATTAATAATAGTATAATCATCATCAACATCATCAACATCTTGTCCACTGAGCCCTGCAACAAAGAGATACCCAAACTGTTACTGGCATGCAGAAGTGTAAATTCTTCCACTGAACATTATAGCAACTTGTGGCTTCACTGCACAGCCACCATAACAAAGGTCATGCAAGCTTGTTCTTATGCTGAGCAGAAAACAAATTTGTATCAGTAAATTGGGACTATAAAAAGCTCGAATAGTTCCTACACACTTGCATATGCTATATGGATTTGACTGCTTTGTGACCGTGCCACATAATCATGAAATTAAAAATACACCCATTTAGTCGTGCAGTTCAAAACCATATCTCCTAAAAACACATAGTGTTTTTGTCACAAAAATGAATAAACAGGATCTATAAATAAAACTGATGCCCTCAAGTCATAAGCACTGCATGGCTACAGAACATATATGTGTATGCATTGCCAGGGTATTATGCAGAAAATCCAACACAAGATTTAAAGCCTAGATATATCTTAAAAAGAGAAAGCATCCCCTTTTTCTTACAAATGAAAAGTTTTTTACCTTATCTTGATTAACATTTGGTAGAACCTTCAGAAGCTTCAAGGGCTGCATCAGTCCATCCCTTCCCTAAAGCATCCTCAGCCCATGTCTAGCAAATCTGAACTCAACAGGTGGCAAGTAAGTGACCTCCTAGTCTCAATTCTCAATATGGCAATAGGGGACCCATTTCAGGGATTTTGCTTATACAGTACACTCAATGGTCAGTTACCTGTAGTTCTCAACTAGCTACAAATCCATCTAACTGTAGCATCATCTAATCCAGATTTTACCAGCTTGCCAGCAAGAGTTATCATATTGAGCTTCATTGAAAACCTTGCTAATATTTCATCCACAGCATTCCCTTGTTTAGCAAGCTAGTAACAATTTAAAAAAAAGCTTGGTATGACGTATTCTTGAGAAACCCCTGGTAGTGTTTTGTAATCATAGCAACCAAATGTTAGCAGACTAACTACTTAAATGATTCACTCAGGAACCTTTCCAGCTATCAATGTCAGACTGTCTAGTCAGCAGTTGCCTGCAACCTTCACACATCCCACCTTGAAGATGGGGACATTTGTCTGCTTTCAATCTCATGGAACTTCACCTGTTCTCCAAGAATTTCCCAAAATTGCAAACAGAGATTCCGAGATTGCATTTAGAAGTTCTTTCAGTATCCATCTAATAAAGTTACAAACTGATGTTACAAACAAATGATAGGTTCTTTTTAGGACTTCAATTTTTATGGCTGTGGCACATTGAAGTCAAGTTTTTGACTGTAACTAGGGGATATAATTTCTATTGAAACAAACAGGAGCCAGGATTTCTACTATTTTTACTTTTCAAGTCACAAGACTCTCATGAAAATAGCTAGCTAGAGTTGGCAGCTTTTCTGCTGTAAGTAAGGATGTCATTATAAATGGAAACAAGAAGAATCAAAAAATTATTTCACAATCAAGTTCTCCTTCCAAGTAACTAAGAGCTGGCAATTTTGGACAAGACAACAAGCACATTAAAAAAGAAATTAAGGAATTATAGAGTTGCAAGGGACCCCAAGGGTTATCTAGGCCAACTTCCTGCAATGGTGAAAACGATACAGAATGCAATCCAATACATACAAAAAGTAAAGAGAGCCATAAAGGTAAAGGGACCCCTGACCATTAGGTCCAGTCGTGACAGACTCTGGGGTTGCGGCGCTCATCTCGCTTTATTGGCCGAGGGAGCCGGCGTACAGCTTCCGGGTCATGTGGCCAGCATTACTAAGCCGCTTCTGGAGAACCAGAGCAGCGCATGGAAACGCCGTTTACCTTCCCGCCGGAGTGGTACCTATTTATCTACTTGCACTTTGACATGCTTTCGAACTGCTAGGTTGGCAGGAGCAGGGACTGAGCAACGGGAGCTCACCCCATTGCGGGGATTCGAATCACCGACCTTCTGATCAGCAAGTCCTAGGCTCTGTGGTTTAACCCACAGTGCCACCATGCTGGCCTACAAAACAAGTTCCGAAATCTTTATTAGGCAAAACCAAAATATCACAAAATAGTGTGCTGTCTTTCAAGTTCTCTATAACTCTTCATCAGGCTGGATGATAAACCAGGGCAGTTGGGGGCTGGCAGAGTTGGTTGCTATCTTTTAAGATGGAATCTGGAAAGTTTATTATGAGCTATCACAGATACCTTGACTTTTTGTGAGACTTGAAAGATACTTAATGTAGTCACTCTAAAACGACTCATACTGTCCAAAGTGGCTGAGGCACCCCAGTCATATAGGTGGGGTACAAATAATAAAATTATTATTACTGTATTACCACAAATATGAGATTCCCCAAGAGAAAGTCCCCTCTAAATGCTAGGTAGAGAAACTTAATTTGGCTTGTGATGACTTTTTATCTAGCACACCACCAAACATTAATTTTCAGCTCTGCTAATGTACAATTGCCAAATTTCTCTTGATCCCCATTTTCTACCTATGTGTTTGGCCTAAGGATGGAGACAGACCTCAGTAACAGCAATTTTTTGTAGTTCCAGCGATGGGGGTCAACCATCACCATCTTGTTCCCAGTAGGGCTTCATACTCCTAGCACTTAAGCAGTCTTATTTCAATATTTGCTACCTTCTCCCCTATCTAAGACCAGATGTAGACACAAGGGGTGGAATCAATGTGGCACGTAACTGATTAATTACCGTATTTTTCGCTCTATAAGACGCACCAGACCATAAGACGCACCCAGTTTTTGGAGGAGGAAAACAAGAAAAAAAATATTCTGAATCTCAGAAGACAGAACAACAAGAGGGATTGCTGTGCAGCGAAAGCAGCGATCCCTCTTGCTGTTCTGGCTTCTGGGATAGCTGCGCAACCTGCATTCACTCCATAAGACGCACACACATTTCCCCTAACTTTTTAGGAGGGAAAAAGTGAGTCTTATAGAGCAAAAAATACGGTACTTCCTCATCTAAAACTCACACAATTGATTATCAATTTTAATAGAGCAACAGCGCATATAGCTCAAGACTCAAATTGCATCCAGTGGAAATACTGTCATTTGAAAGCATCATATTGCATGACAAACGTAAAAAGCATGAAAGTTACAATGCGATAACTAAAGGTCATAGTCACCTCAACAAATCTGACTCTAAAACGACTCATAAAGAGTGGATTCTCACATAACTACCATCAAGTAGAAACTATAGCTTTTATTATCCTAAGGAGCTGAGGACTGAGTGCTTGAGGCATTCAACATTTTATCCTCACAGCAACCCTATGAGGTAGGCTTAGATGAATGATTTGACATTAAATTTCCTGACAGCCAAAATTTGACACCATGTCTTCCTAGTCATGTAATGAAGCTGCTCAGTGCACGACTTCCCCACATACTGTAATGTGTATTATTTCCCTACCGAAGCTGCCTGGAGACTATCCATGTGTTGACCAGCTCTCATGTAAGAATCAGTTATTAGGGAACATTAGCATTAAACTTCTAGCCTGTCCTGGGTGCTTTTTTAAAATGCTAGAAATGCTCCTAGTCCTGAAGGGTTTGCAGATTACCATTATTCATTACCTCTGTCAAGTTTCAGTACCAGGAAGTCAACTCCTTTTCATTTCATTTTATTATTTATACTCTGCTCATATGTCTGGGTTGCCCCAGCCACACTGGGTGGTCAATGAGTTATGTTTAGGAAGTTTTTGATCCCCTTTGGTCCCTGCTTTTGTACAGCATATAGGAAAGCTTTCCAGAATTCAGCATGATCAATAAGGAAGCAAGATAATCTCAAGGACTAGCTATTTCTGAACAAAAGTCATATGCAAATGGAAACAAAGTGAACAATGCAAAGCTCAGAGCTATCTGCACATGCATCCTTGTATCACGTCTGCTGATTTACCTAAGCAGTAAGTGTCCTTACAAAAATCTATCTAGACTATACATTGCCCAACTGAAGTTTCTGCAAGACAAGATGGAACAAAGCTATGCTAGGTTTGCATTCATCAAAGAACAGCTCCTTCAAACGACAGCTGCAGCTGGATGTTTTCTTCTAATATATTTGCTACTGCAACAATTTTTTCTGTCAGGCATTTTACAATGCTAACATATCCAGATGAGATACAGCTTTGTTTTCTTAAATACACCAATGATGTTGCTTATTTGGCACATGATAAGCTTATGCTGACCTGAATGAATGTGTACTCCCCCCGCCCCCATCTCATCTGGAAATCCTAATATGTTCACAATCACCACTATACATACTAAATGCTAAATATTTTAACAGAGTATGTTAAAAATAAAATAAAATTCTGAGTCATTTGTTTCCATGAACAGCAAAAACAACGACCACCGACTCCACTTTTTAACCAGCCATTAAAAAGGGGGAGGGGAGGCTGCATCTCCTCCCCTATCAATATTCTGCCAAACTCTCACCATGTCTTAAATATATGCATATATTTAAAAATATTCTCTAACAGCCTTATAATTAAAGCAAAAAATAAAATAAAAATCTGCATCTCCTCTGAGTGGTCAAAACAAAACAGAAACACACTTGACAGTCTACCTGTCAGAACTACTACATTGTCTCCGCCAATGTGGTCTAGAAAAGGCACTTACTTCGGATCGTAGTAAGCAGAATCAAATCAAAGCTCCCTGTTTTAAAATGCATTTTATTTTTTCTTCTAAAAATAACAAATCCCCTTAACGGTGAAAGCCGGGGGTTGGAAGTGGGGGTGTCCCCGTGGCTGGGAAATCACCATCTTTGCCATCCTTTCCCCCCATACCCATAATCTTGGGAAGGACGTGAGGAGGAAGATAAGGGACCTTTCAAAAGGAAGATAATAAAGATACGTGGCGATTTCATTCCTACTTCCCCCCCTTTTCTTAAAAAAAACAAAAACCAAAATGAAAACAGTTACCGTACTCACAATCATCTAAGTCATCCTGCAAATCCACAAAATACAAAGGGATCCCTACAAACAGAAACAAAAGAGAGAGATGGAGAAAGAGAGAGAGAGAGAAGAAAGAAAGAGAGAGAAGACACAGGGGGTTGGTGCGTTTTCTTTCCCTTGGAGAGGAGTCGGAAATATATATATACATTTTAAAAATAAATAAATATACACGATCATCATCATCCGCAAACAAGCCAGCAAAAGAGGGCCGACGCTTGCGCCGCGCTTAAGCACCCTCTGATGTGTGTTTTTAAGGAAAAAGACAAGGCACACGACAATAATAATAATAATAAAAAGAAAAACCATTTTTTAAAAAACGACATAAACCAGAGAGAGCCCTTGCGCGCCTCACACCCCGCACGAAGGAGCAGCAGGAGCGAAAGCCACTTACCGGCCATTTTGAAATGGTCCTGGGCGAGGAGGAGGGAGGAGAGCGGCGGAGGAGGGAGAGGAGGGACCGGGCCGAGGAGGAGGAGGAGCAGCAGCGGCGGCCCGACGCCCCGCCGCCTCAGCGCTCCAGCCTGACCCGCCACTGAACCAGCGCGGCGCCCCGGGCCCACCTCAGCCCCAGGCCCCAAGCCCCGCCGCCAGCCCCACACAGCGGCTCCCCCGCCGGCGCCCCTTTCGCCCCGGGGGGGGGGCAGAACAGCGAGAGAGGCGGTGTGGGGAGGCGTGGCAGCCCAGGCCCCCTTCTCCTCCTCCGCCTCCTCCCCCCCCCCAGTGTCGCCGAAAGGGGTGGGGAGTCTGGGTCAGGTGATTGTCAATGGGCCGTCCAAGATGGCGCCCGGTTTGTGGAGCCTGAGGAGGAGGAAGAGGAGGGTTGTTTTCTTTACCTGTGACTTGGAGCTGAGGGAGGAGGCGGTTCGGAGTTGATTTTTTTTTTATTTTTGGGGTCAAATCCTCCCACGCCTTCGTTTTATCCCTGAGAGACTTTCGCCTGAAGGGTAGACTTGAGGAGGAGGAGGCGGTTTTTGTGTTGTTTTTTTAATTCCCCGATGTGCGCCTTTTTCCGAGGAGGGGCTACCCGGGCTGTGCCTGCTGCGCTCCCGACGAGAGAGCCGTCTATCCTTCCCCAGCCATGGCTCTGAGGGAGCTCAAAGTTTGCCTGCTGGGGGTAAGTAACAGGGGAGGGAAGTTGGGGCTGGAGAGGTGGCGAGTGTCTCCCTTAACACACACACACACACACAAATCCCCATAGAAAGAGGGTTTGGAAATTTGGCCTTTTCTTCTTTCCATCAGCTACCACTTTCCACAAAGGGGCTTTCAAATGCGGGTTTCCTACACGCCTGAACATATATGGTTACCAGGGGGTTGGGGTGGTGTCGGGGGAGATGGGGGTCTACCATCCCATTCCTGTCTACTCGGAAGTAAGTCCAAATGTGATACAACGAGGTTCACCACCACCTTGGGATTGTGGCCTTGAATTGGTTGGAACTCGGTTGCAGCTATTCCTGTTTTGCTGCGATACCGCTTTTGTAGTTTCTGAGCCAGGTATAAGCCCCACGTCCTTCAATAGGACTTACTTCAAAGTAGATGTACACATTTTGTGTGTGTGTGTGTGTTGTTTTTCCTGCCAACGAGAAGTATTTTGCTCGTAGTTATGAAAACTGTTGCCCCTTTATCCTTCTCGCTGGATGGTCTCCGCCGCCTACCCCTTGTTAAAAATCAAGAAACTTCTTGGGTTTGTTTGTTTTTTGCACAACTTGAGTTTCAAAACATAGGGACAGGAATCCAATAAGCAAACAGAAGAAGCCTCTATTGACATCTTCTAAGGATAAACAACATCCTTTACTGTAAAACAGAGAGGAAGTATTTAACCCTATAGATAGATGCTTACCTGAGAGAAAGTTCCATCCGACTAACTCCAGTTTATTTCTGAGTAGGTGTGCAAAGGATTGCTCTATAAAATACTTTCTCTCTAAGTAGGAGAAAGGATAGAAACCAAAGTTTCAGAGACTTCTCTCTTTTCGCAATACTTTTTTGCAGCATTGAATCAAATGTGGGGTGTGTTTTTCCCTTCTTCCTGACTTTTTTTTTTTTTTTGCAGAAATAGGCTTTGTTCTATATAAGATGGAGAAAAGAGGCTTGATGAGATAACATTGACATCTGCTATTTTTTCCCCTTCAGTCCATTCTGTGGTTGGTAGTATATGTCAAACTAGTGTTAAAATTTAAGAATGTTGGAAAAGGTACATTCTTCATATATTTTCTGACAGTAGTATTCACAAGCTCCAGAATCTTTGGCTACTAAGTAGCTTGAATTACTAAGTAGCTTGAATGTTTAGACTTGTTATTGGATTTTTATGGCACAGGCTGTCCACAAGACTTAAACCACTTCCTCTCAAAATTTGCCATTTGTCACAATGAAACCGTATAAGCATACTCTTAAGATCCATACATGGCTGTGATGCTTTAAACTATGGAGTTTTGCCTAGTTGATTGCTTTGTCCTTATTTATACAGTACTGAAGAAGAAACAGATCAAACTATCTAGTCTGTTCATAGCTGCTTAGTATTCTTCCAGGTGTGTTACTGGAACTACGTATAGCCTTTCATTAAACAGGGTGGGGCTGTATGAGTAAGAATCATTGCAGAAACTCTCCAACTAGTTTAGCACCTTTGAGTTTAAGTTGTTTGCTATACACATCATAGAATAGAGAATGAGAGCTTCTCTTAAACATGCAAATGTTTCCGCAGTGATGCACATTCACTGAAAGCATGGAAGCATCATGGCATTATCTAATACCGGCTTTTTAATATGATAATAGAATCAGAATTGTAGAGTTGGAAGGGACCCAAGGGTCATCTAGTCCAACCCCCTGCAATGCAGGAATCTCAGCTAAAGCATACATGACAGATGGCCATACAACCTCTGCTTTAAAACCTCCAAGGAAGGAGAGTCCACAACCTCTGGTGAGAGACCGTTCCACTGTCAAAGAGGTCTTACTGTCAGAAAGTTTTTCCATATATTCAGTTGAACATCCATGAGTATTGCATCCATGTACAAAATGCTGTCCAGTCTTGGATAGAAAAACCCAGCACTGCCATTGGTTGGACTGGAGTAGGCAATGAGCACCTGGTTATATATTTACAGCTCAATACTTGTCACTTAGAAGAAAGTCAGTGGAACTTACTTTGAAGTAGCTCACAGTGTATTGTGTTAAACTTAGGTGCACAATAGTAAACCTAAAATTATGAGGACCAGTTTTCAATAGGTATAGAGTTCTTTATCTCACAAGCAATTTTTCAGTTCAGTCCTAATCCTTGGATCTGTGCTGCTGAAGGGGCTTAGGGTAAGGCAGTGCAGAGTACTGGAACTGAGGTCTCTATAGGAAGCTACCACTAGCATTCAGAAAGCCCCCCCAAAAAGGCAAGCACAAAAATTTGAAAATGCATAAATATTTTTTTAAAAAACAAGGCAAGTGCACAGCTGCTTTGGATCCATAGGATTCAAAGCCTGATGGATGCCACAAGGGGCCTGATTCTCAGCTGCACCAGCCTAGAGTTCAGTTACCAAAAAAATAAAGGCAAAATACCTTCCACCTGGACTGGTGCAAGCTGTAGGGTTGCAGATGTGGTTGTACATCTGCTATTCTGCTTTGCTGCAGGCTGGGGTTGACTGAGTTTGCTTTTTTAGGAAGCTTAGGCGTGTTCTTTGTTCATAGTTAAGATACATTTTCCCCTTCTACCCTTCTCCACTAGTAGAAAAGTTTTTGTAAAACAACTGAAATTTTTCCATGCTCTGTTTATCTGTATCATAGGTTGAAAAGCTACTGTTCAGTCAAGTAAAAAAGGGGGGGATTTTATTAAGCAAAGTTAACATAGGTAAATTCAAGAGGACTAACTTTTCGTTACAACAGACAGAAAAACAGTTGTATGACACTGAAACAGATTTATATCAAAGTTCGCCATTTCTGTTCTGAAGCCCTTGTCCACAACTTGTCTTATCAGTGGGCCACATGAGAAAAGGAGGGATAACTTTCTGTCTCTTCACACTACTTTAAAACTAGCCTGGGGAGGCCAGTCAGCACATTTCAATTGGCTTGATTTGGACCAGGGATTGCCATTTGCTGATTCATAGACTATCTCAGACTGATGCAGCTAGAAATCAAATGTGGGGAGTTCAGCAATATTTGAAGCTTTGTTTTATTCTCTGGCTATAAATAATAATTTATCTTATGGTTAATTTTGTTTTTCACATTACCTCCCTCATATAGACAGTTAATTGGAGAAGGATCGCCTTATATTTCAATGTGTTGTTGGACTTAGTTGCTTGAGTTGCATAGCTTTTACCCAAACTACACTATCGGGCAGGGAAGTTGTTCACTCCTTTCTGTTTGTGGTACATTTATATTATAGGGAGTGGTTGTGGAACCATTCAGGCACATTACAATTGTATGAGAAGTTGGAAGGAAATGTTCTGCCCTGTTCATTCTAGTAAAACTAAGTGTTATAATACCCCATAGTTCAGGAGAGGAAAATAACTTCTAGCTACTACCCTAAAATGTGAGATTGAGTTCTTGATTATTCCCTATACATGTTTTAATCGTAACAGCTTAGTTTAGTTTTAAACATATCTTTTTGCTTGTTGTAATACTTTTTATTTTATTTTTCACAATATCAACATTGAGGAGAAAGGAAACTACCATTTCATCAAAATTTAGGGTTGTACTGCAATTGCTTCAAAAATCACTTAAGTTCTACTGTCAATGCCTAAATGGTCTTTGAATTGTCTGTCTGGTTTTACTTTCAGGACACTGGTGTGGGCAAGTCAAGCATTGTATGGCGCTTTGTAGAAGACAGCTTTGATCCCAACATCAATCCAACAATTGGGTGAGACAGTGAACGAAACTAACAACTTAGGGAGATAAAGCACTAAACATAGAATCATAGAATGTAGAGTTGGAAGGGACATCTAGTCCAACCCCCTGCAACGCCGGAATCTTTTGCCCAATGTAGGGCTCAAACCCACAACCCTGAGATTAATAGTCTTGTGCTCTACCAACTGGGCTATCCTATCCCAGCTCAGTTCAATGTAGGAACTTTGTGCATAGAAACGTCTCATGTAGGAGTATAAAGTTTGATGCAAATGCTAAAATCCAAGTAAACTGTGTGTTCCATGGCAGATAAGTAGGAAAGTAGAAGTCAGTAATCTGGGACCAGTATTGATCTAATGCTGAACCCTTTTTCACCACAGTTAAGAGATGGAGACCAGTACTATTCCTACATGACTTACAGATGTGCCTGAAACCATGAGGAAAATTTAGCGGCAGCCCAGTTGGGAGAAGATTAAGCATTTGTTTAAGCCACTTTACCTTTTATTAAAAGAGTATCGTCCACAATTAATTGTATAGATATTTTTCAGTAGAATCAGCAGCTCTTTTCTTTTTCTTAGAACAACCCTGTGAGGTTTTTAGTTTGCAGCTGGGAAACGGGGGTGGGGGGTGGCATCTGGCAATTCCATTTCCACAAAGGCAGTTGGATCCACATCCATTTCTAAAGCTATCTACTTTGCCTTGTTGGCTAGCAGCCATTAATACTGAGATGCTGTCTGAGTAAATGTGTCACAGTTTTCATAGATATGCAGAACCTGAATCATGTAGAATTACAACTTTTAGTTTCATTCCCTTTTTTTTTAAATGGCCAGTGTATCAAGTAAAAGATTAATTTTCAAAGTGGCTTCTAAATAGTAAACAATCCTGAGCAGATCAAGAATGGCGTTCACAGCAGTTTGTATTTTCCTCCATCTGATAGCATCAATGAATTCAAAAAGCTCCGCTTTTTATTTGAGACTCTGTCGGTTTATGACTCCCACAAGACTCCTTTCATTTCACATATCACTCTTTTAGATCAGTGTAAGTAGATTTGTGATGTAGAAAAGTTGGTCTCTCTAAACATGAAACCGACTGTTTGTACAGCTTAGGCTATTGTTCTTGACTCATGTAGGATGACTGCCCACCTTGATCTTGCAAATAAACTATTTTACATTTCATAAAATGAACATTTTGTCTTAGTAGACAAAAGGTGTAGAGGGGCTTTTACAGTTTCACTGCACAATGTGTAGTGCCTGAATTGGGGGGGGGGGGGGGTTTAAGAAGACCATTAAGGAAATCCTCAAGCTTCAATCCCTGACTCTTCCCTCCAATTTTAGCCAAATCATGTCTCAATAGCCTTCTAAAAACAGTAACACATAATGTCTGAAGACTAGAGTCCTACCCTACCGCAGTGACCATCCTTGTAGATTTATCACCAACAGTGAGGTTACGTTTTAAGCATGCAGCTGTTCACTTTCTTGTACAGTTTGTGACCTCTTCTTGTTGAAACCAAATTGATTTTGTTTGTCTCAACGATCCAAAAGAGAGTAATCTAGCTTATCTTCTTACACTAGCCCTTCTAAGGTGCAATTGGATTGTTGTTGCCTGCAGCATTTTCCTGTCTAAATAAATGCTTTTTTATCAGTAGATAGAGAAAAGATAAAATGTACAAACTATTCCTTCCATGTCTAAAATAATGGATCTATATAGCCAGCATGTGAGGGTTGTACCTATCTGGATTCTGTACAATGGAATTAATATGATCCTTAATATTTATGAATGGGGAAGGTTATAAGGTGGTGGTTTTTCTCATACGTTCATGTATTAAATATTTTTCAGAGCATCTTTTATGACAAAGACAGTGCAGTATCAGAATGAGTTGCATAAATTCCTAATATGGGATACAGCCGGGCAAGAACGAGTAAGTAGATAACCCATTACTTTTTATTTGCTAAAAGTTGTGATGAAACATTATAAAGCCTTTATTAATGTGCCATGGATGGCCATAATACATGTTCCTCTGATTACCCAAACAAGAAGTTGTATATTGAGATAAAGCCTGGAGTCATACATTGTACAGTCTAGATTTAAATTTGTCTCCTTCTTATGAAATTTTAAATATATGATTCATTCCAAGGATTAAAAGATTTTGTTTATAATTCAGCATGGGTGGTTTCTCAGATCAAGAAAGTGACATGATAGATTGTTTGAGATGCATGCATAGTGTAATGTACAGGAAAAGGTGATAGGCAGCAATTATGCCTTTAATACATAGTTAATGATCTGTGTTCCTGTGGTGGAATGATCCTACATTAAACTAATTTGGAAGCCACTTTTCTGACTTGTGTAACTATATATTTTTTTAAAAATTCTGTGACTCTGACAAGAGCTTGAAAGTAATGTAGGGTATATATTTTTGCATACAATGGGATCTCGAACATTCTGCATTTCAAGCTTTGTCATTTGACACATTATTGGTAGAGCTTTCATTTTCATGGAAGTGTTAAAAATCAAGGGCAGTTGTTGGGGGAAAGCATAAGCCTCTCACAAACCATTTTGTTGGTCTGGAAGGTAGAGATGGGACATTATTTCCACCACCCACCACATCCAGCTGAAGATCTGCAATACCCCACTCCTTAAGCTGTCCTGCTGCCATAAGGCGTTCTGTCTTGCTAGTACGTGCCGCCTCTTAAATCCCCCCCCCCCAGCCTCTGACACTCCATACCCAGTCAGCTGTTAGCTTTCTTAGGAACATAGGAAGCTGCCTTATACTGAGTCAGACTATTGGTTTTCGAGCATCTCAGAATCCGAACAATTCAGAATCCAAACGTCGATAACGCAGAAGTAATTGTTTCCATTTTCGAACGCGCCTCTGAATTCAAATGGCTTCCGAGGTGTTTTCAGTTTTTCCCATTGACTTTGCAGCCAGCTCACTGATCCTCAGTTTTTGAACATTTCGGAAGTCAAAAAGTGAAACAGTCTTCCGGAATGGATTACGTTCGAAAACCAAGGTTCCACTGTACCTGAAACAAAATGTGTACTTGCTTCAGATATTGGGTGACTTCCTTTGAATGGCTTTTCTTTCTTTTTTTCCAGCTTTTGAGGAATCAAACATTTGGCCAATAGCTGCTTGGCAGAGGATTTTCATTTAATACTGAAACTCTTCAGTTTTGTTTTTATTCTCTTTAAGCAGGACAAGAACACAAGCTTTGTACCCTTTATTTTATATCAAACCAGCTACATGTCAACTGTTAACTAATTGTCTCAGATTGTGCAGTACTTTCAAGAGAGGAAAAAGCAGGATCCTCTTTTCTATTTTTACTCTTGGAGTAAAACTTGCAACTTTTGCAATGGAAATAACATGATCCTTTGTCAGTGCTCTGACTCAGCACTGCAGTCTTCTCCCTTTACCCTACAGCATGGTATAACAAAGAAGAAAACGTTATAGGGCTTATTGGGATGGTGACAGGCCACAGCCTTTGCCTACCACTCCAGCTGGTGATCAAAGCCTTGGCCAGAATGAATCTAATTCCAAGAGAGAAATCAGAGAACAAGGAAACAATTGCCTCACAATTAATCCACATTAATATCCAGTTCTCTGTTTCCTGAAAGGCCATACTTGGTACTGACTTCACATTAAAACCACCTCTATGAAGTGCATCTTTAGTTGCTTTGCTGCAGATTTTGAGTTTATTCTTTTATCGGCTTTCCTGTGCATTTCTTACTAGTCTGTTATGGATGAAGCCTTGCCTTCACTGAGCTTCTAATTATTTTTCAAAATAATTGCCAGCTTCATTTTCTACCCAGTGTAATCCCTTTCGAACAAGAGTATTCTCTCTTTCTCTAAGTAAAAGGTGCAACTCAAAATTGCTTATCTGTATGCCTTTTTGTCTTTCTGTGTGGTCTTCTGCCATGCTCTAAAACACCTTTGCCTAGTTCCAGGACTCCTCCCCTCAAAATAGTTTAGCTACTGGGATGTGAAACAGTTGCTTGCTGTTGTTGTAAGCAGCTTTGTGTTTCCGTCGACTACTTTTATTAGTCGCCATGCTTGCAGTAAGTCTGAAACATGAATATAGTTACGAAATCTTTTCTCTTTCTTCCTGTTAATTGAGCATCAACTTAAATAATGCATTCTAGAGTTTGTTCACCTAGAGTTTAGATTTACCAGAACACAAAGGGAAGTGCAAATTAATATCTTCCATGTTCCAGTTAATGTGATATGCAGTTTCCCTAACTGTACTAGCGAAATGCCCATTATTGTGATGGACAGTATGTGTGTGGAGGGGAGGGCTTACATTAGGAACGAAGAGCAGACTTTTACTGCATCTCTGTCGCCACATTCAGCACTCTGTTTTTAACCCTTGGAGTGGGTGGCTTATGAAAGCTCATGCTGAAATATGCAGTATGTTTGATGATGAATGTTATACTGAGGACCAGGGACAGGCATTTGGATCTATACCTGGCTATAAGAGTGCTATCCTGTGTCCAACTAGGATGAGTCACTGAGCCCTGACGCAATATCTTGTACTCCTATTTTATGCTGTCCCTCTATAGGTGCTCTGCGCACTTGCTGAGTCAGAATACATATGGCTTACCAAACAGCATGGACGCTTGTTATGTGAGCTTTCATAACTAGGAAAACTTAGGTTTGCTTCATGAGTTTCACGAAGAACACCTTTACTTGCAAATGCCAGTGCTGTCGTAAACTATTTTTTAAGGTTTCAAAATGGTGTTTGAAGTTCACACATCACATATGCACAGTGTCTGTGTACACTGTTAAAGGCTTACAAATAGTAAGAAAGCAACTGTTCATACAACTCTAGTGAAGATACCAGTTGCTTCATGGCTCTACTCCTTTATTGAGAGCAGTTTCACAGATTGATTAAAAAAAAAACCACAGCTCTATGCACTCCATGTCATGGCTCATGCTGCAGAGATGGCATTTTAATACTCAGGATGGAGTATACAAAAATATGGCAGTGGGGGAGTGTAAGCATGGCTCAAAGGTGTGCTCTTGGATATGTCCAAGTTCAAATTCCAAACAAGAAATTATGGTAAGGACATTTGCAAAATGACAAATGAGAGCTTGAAAAATAATCACATGATTTGAAACATGGATGAGGAAAGCTTCTTTGTTTAAATGGTATCCAGCCTTTGTTCCTGGGCTCTTAACCTTAAAGTAAATGGTTTTGCTTACTACCATTGTATAGTTTAACTTCACTCTCGCAGATTGTATAAAGTATTCATGTTTTGCTTTCTAAGGCATCGTTGGATATGACACAAGGCAGAGATCTACTCCTTGCCACCCCTCTCTCTACGCACCTTCCTCAGTATACGAATGCTGGCTGAGGTGTCTGTTATGGCTCAGAGTTATGTGGCATAGCAAGTAGAGCACAGTGGGGCAATTTCATTGCCCCAAAGGCCCACACATGGCTGTGGCACTGGTGGTGGACAGGACCCTTCTATTTCTTGCTCTCTCTCTCTCACCCACACACACATATACTTCCTACCTTACCCAATTTGCCGGGTGGCTGAAAAATCACCAACCTCATGCTGCTAAGCAATTTTTTGCTGCCACGTGCAGGCTGTGGGTTGACCACCTGTTGTGTTCCACTAGGGCTAGAGAGATCTGAGTTTGAATAACCACTTGGCTTTGAATCCTGCTGAATCACCATGAGCCCGTCACTTTCTCTCTCTGCCTACCCTGGGCTGTGAAGATACAATAGGAGGGGGAGTCATGCACACTATACATGCACACTATACATTGACGGAAGGGTAAAATAAAAATGTGACAATAAGTACGATTCATTCATTATGAGGCATTCATGTCCTTTGTCCCGGACCTAAGTTATTTTTTACCGTATGACCTTTAATATGACCCAGAAGCCTTTTTTACATATTTCTTCTCTTTGCAGTTCCGTGCTCTAGCACCGATGTACTACCGAGGTTCTGCAGCAGCTATTATAGTTTATGACATCACAAAAGAGGTAACCAATTTTTTTTTTGCAAAAAAAGTTATCTATTGGCAATAGTTAAGGTAAAGGGACCCCTGACCATTAGGTCCAACCCCGACTCTAGGGTTGCGGTCGCTTTATTGGCCAAGGGAGCCGGCGTACAGCTTCCAGGTCATGTGGCCAGCATGACTAAGCCGCTTCTGGCGAACCAGAGCAGCGCACGGAAACGCCGTTTACCTTCCTGCCGGAGCGGTACCTATTTATCTACTTGCACTTTGACGTGCTTTCGAACTGCTAGGTTGGCAGGAGCAGGGAGTGAGCAACGGAAGCTCACCCCGTCGCGGGGATTCGAACTGCCAACCTTCTGATCGGCAAGTCCTAGGCTCTGTGGTTTAACCCACAGCGCCACCCGTGTCCCTATTGGCAATAGTTACATGCTTGCTAATTCCATCACTTTAATCATAGGAAACATTTTCAACATTAAAGAACTGGGTGAAAGAACTTCGACAGCATGGACCTCCCAATATTGTTGTTGCTATTGCTGGAAATAAATGTGATCTTAACGATGTAAGGTAAATTAACCCTCATCTTTTCTCGCCGCCAGCTATTGCGGTCATTCTTTGTAGTTAGAAATTTTCAGAAATATTTTGAGACTCTTGGGTTTTATAAATTGATGACTATTGAACCAGGTACATTCTCAAGATTACAGTGGTGCCCCGCAAGACGAATGCCTCGCAAGACGGAAAAACCGCTAGACGAAAGGGTTTTCCGTTTTGGAGTTGCTTCGCAGGACGAATTCCCCTATGGGCTTGCTTCGCAAGACGAAAATGTCTTGCGAGTCTTGAGATTTTTTTTTCGCTTCCCCCCCCCTTTATCTAATCTGCTAAGCCTTTAATAGCCTTTAATAGCCTTTTAGCAGCTAATCCCCTAAGCCTTTAAGCCTTTAATAGCCGCTAAACCGCTAATAGCGCTAATCCGTTAAGCCGCTAATAGGGTTGCTTCGCAAGACGAAAAAACCGCTAGACGAAGACTCTCGTGGAACGGATTAATTTCGTCTTGCGAGGCACCACTGTATTAAAGTCTAGTAGGGAAGGAAACTGGCTCACAACATGAATTTTGCGCTTGCCGCCTGTGGCTCCGAGATGGAAGTCCTGGAGGGGGTGCTGTGTGGGCTGCATCTAGAATGAACAAGCTAGGGTTGCAGGAGTCATGCACCATATTAAGATTAAGATCTTAAGATCTCTTGGGAAAGGGAGGCTACAGAACAAAGCTGCCTGAGACAATAGCTCTGGACTGATTTAACTGGGTAAGGGAAGACAGACAAGTTGCTGATGGAATAGGGTTGCCTTTGAATATCTACAACAATGTAAAGCTTATGTTAGAGAACTTGGCTGTGAGCCCCAGTGCAATCGTGGGTGGTTGCAATGTCTCTAACCATTCTGTCTTCTCTCTAAATTAACCCCTCCAATGGTTTGGTAATGTTGGAAACAAAGTTTATGCTCCAGGTGTGAAATTTGAGGGGAAAGTGTTAATGGAGGCTGTGTCTCAACACTGTGCTCACACCTGGACTTAAGTTATATTGGAATCTCACTTATTTCATAAATTAATACTCGGCTTCATTGTAAGGGGGAGGAGACCTCAAAGTGATTTACAAAAATAGAGAACAATAAATTCAAGAAGATTACAATACTTAAAAACATGCAAAAAGTTAAAATACTAAAATCTTTGGTTTTATCAGCATGTTTCCCAAGTACATAATCTTAAGCATGGTTTAGATTAGTTGTTAACGTAGATTTTAATGCTGCATTGAATTGCACCTACTTTTTCTTTTCTAAAAATTGGTATGGCTTGTTTATACTATTCTCTCTCTTCTCCTTAGGGAAGTCATGGAAAAAGATGCTAAAGACTATGCAGATTCCATCCACGCAATATTTGTAGAGACCAGTGCAAAAAATGCAATAAACATAAATGAACTGTTCATAGAAATTAGTAAGTATCAAAACATTGGGATTTCTCTAGCCAATCTCCAATTAATGACAACAAAAAGAAATCTGACAGTTATTTTGGCTTGAAGTTCTGTTTCTGCCAGTTGTACATGATGTCACGTATGTCACCATTTGATAGGGACTGAAAGTGCAATATGATCTGCTTTGGGTCATTCAAGTCAGAGCTTCTGTATGCTTGTGTGTTAACCCTCTACATCCTTCTGTTGTGCTTGATGGATCAATAGCAAGAAGTACACTGATACCAAGAAAAAATTGTTCATTTGAAATCAGCAAGGGGAGAAAGGCCTGGAAATTCATAGAGAAATACTTTGTTAACAGTTAATCCCATGTGCAGTTTTTCATACAATCCTGCAAGATACAGTTCAGGTTAGATTCCACATTGTCATGGACAGAGAATACTGTAAGTGAAGGCTTAATTTAGTTATTGTGGTTAATATATTTGGATAGACCACTTGTGGTAATAAATTCAACAAGACAATTTTGCATTTAATGTGCTGCCACTCAGTCATGCCACATTTAAATCCTCTGTATGCAAGGTGATTTTTTTTTCTTCCAAGCAAAAAGTATGCTATGTAACCATTCAGTGAATGTGTAGCTTAAAAGATGAATTTCAAACAGCTGAAATAAAAACTGCAGAGTTATCTATTGATTATCTTTACTTAGCTCAGAAAATGTACAAACTTAGTTTGGCATCCAGTGCTATTCAACCACTGGCACAATGGAAATCTCCTTGAGCAATAGAACATCTGGTTTCTCTTCTCCCCTCCATTCAGTGATTCTGATTACAGTGACTAGATGCTTATCCTAAGCCAAAAAAGCACAATTTTTCTACCAGTATAAACTGTATATTTCTTAAGAAACAAATTTCAGAACTGCTTGCAAATGGTTTTCACTAATAACTTTTTAGCATTGTCACCAACCAAATTTCTTTCAAGTGGTTATAGCCTGTCAGTCTTCTAGTTAGTGATGAGTTGTGCCTACTCATAAGGCTAAACTACAGGGAACTCTGGGGAATGTGGAAAGGTGTTTCAGAGTCTCTCTTATAACACAGTGCTTTTTCTCTCTCTGTAGGTCGTAGAATTCCATCAACAGATACCAACCCCCCATCTAGCGGTAAGGGCTTCAAACTTAGAAGACAGCCTTCAGTGACAAAACGCAGCTGTTGTTGACTGATACGATCATATACCAGACTAGCTTTTATAAAGTATTTGGCCTTGGAAGTTATGGGTTTATTTTGGGTATATCGTACTCGTATTGGATTCCTATCTACCTGGTGTTCATAGACCCTGAAATGGGCCAGTTCTGGCGTGCTTTTACGGACTGAGGAGACCGCAGTCATCCTGCTGTTGGACTGCTTCCTTGCATACAACGTCTGGATTATCTCTTGTACTCAAAGGGAATTCATCTTCAATTTCTTCTTTAGCCTCATGAGAAAGGAACTCCAAAATACAGATTGTAAGACTTAATATTTCATAGTTTTTATAAACAAAACTTTGCTATGTCTTTTCGTGAGGGAGGGAAGGGAAACTAGCACTTTGTGGGAGTGGGCAAGCCCTGTGGATAGAAATGTTAGCTCTGATCTTAATGCAGTTCTACACTCCTCGTCATTGTTGCTATAATAAGCCTTACTGTTTTCATGGTTGCTTCTCCAAAGTACAGAATGAGCAGCTGATTTAATAGACAGCTGCAAAAATAATGAAGCTGATAAAAAGACCAAATCAACCCATCCAGTCACCAACCTTAATTGCACTTTTATTATTTACTGATGATATTGAAGATGTGTTCAGAAAGGGGAGGGGCGGGGGGAGCTTAGACAATCTTGCCATTTTATGCTTAATTACTATAGAAGAAAATAGATAGAAACCTTTTTTTAGTAGGCTTCTCATTAAAAATCCTAGATGAAATTGACCAAAATGAACTTGAGTACAACTGGCAGGCATCAGTTGCTGTCAGTCGTTTTAGAACAAGCATGTTGAATAGGGAGCACTCCCAACTGCTTAGCATGAGCAAGTTTTTATACTCTCTTATTTATGAGACCAATGCCTAAAGTATTATAAATTATGTTAGTGCCATGGATGACCTCTTTTCCTTTCAGTCCCTCACCTGCAGTTGGGGGGGGGGGGCAGTCCACAGGTCAGAATTGCTGTGGACTCCAGCCTGTACACAGACGGCCTTGCCTTATCAGGCATCCTCGTGTTACTAGTACGGTACTGGAAAACACTCTTCTCGCTGTCCAGTAGAGGTTGCTGTGCGTATAGTTTGAGGTTTGCTTACAGAACAAATCACTTCTGCATGATAAAAACAGGGATCCAAAGCCAAGTTGTGTAGGGCAGTGTAGATCGTTGCCTCCTTGCTCTTGGGCCTATCCTGAAGATTTAACTCTTTTTAAACCTTGTTTTTAAGCAGATTATCTTTTGGCTTTGTATTGTGTTTCCATTTTATATTAAACTATAAATTAATCTTGCCCTATTATACTATTTCTCATTATTTATTTTTGTTGCAGCCTGCCAGTGCAAAGGTGTGTGTGTTCTCCCCCTTGAGAATATAACCACTTTAATAAACTCACAATGTGTAAAATAGGCCATAAGGCTTTGATTTTTGATGCTCCTAGAGGCATCTATGGTGGCTTGTTCCCAAACTCTAGCTTGGCATTTTACCATCTTAAGTGTTTTCAGCTGAGAAGGAAATTTCAAAGGATACATAGGAAATGAAACAGCTTGCACTTCAAAATACTAGACCATATTATTCAGACCAATTCGTAACACAACTGAACGACTATAGTTAACTTGTGTGAGTGGAATTATTCTTTCCAAATAAGCAAGCTAACTTTAAGGTTTAGAGTGTAAGTGAAACTTCTCTCTAGCGTTCAAAGTTCTAAGGTTATATTGCATTGTGTAAACATCACTGCACAGTGCTAGCAAGTACTAATTTGCATGTTAAAGGTCTTGTTTGCAACAAATCCAGCTTGAAGCATGGCATTTATTCCAAATGAAATGTGCATATATGTTAACACTGAAACTTGCAGCACGCTCCATACCTCAACTAGCTTGCAGCGTCTGTCTTCTCTTTGTTTTAATTTCAAGAATCAGCTGACTCTGCTTTGTAATCTGGTGTGAAGAGTTCTGAGCTGGCAGAAGGCATCTAGGGTTGGGCAAATATAGCTTGGAGCAGATTGATATCACAAGTTGATTCAAGGTGTCTTACTGGCACTGTACCCTTGATTATTCAAGGGTCTGGCAAAGGTAATGCTGCCAGCCAATTCAGTAGCACAAACTAGACTGAATGGAAGTGTGTCAAGGATGTAATGGTAACTTTTCTACATGGGATTTTCAAGGCAGTTTAGCTAGTGTAGTCCAGTGAAGTGAGAACCTTATGGCTCCATTTCAGGGGCCTCAGAGTTCCCTCTTCTGATAGCATCTTACAGCATCTTACACTGTAAGAATTTCAAACTACCTTTGAAATTCTGATACCTCATTCAGTACAGTGCAATGAGCTTCTGTTGGGAAGGGGAGAATGAGAATCTCTGGTACAGGCATGCAGGTCCTTGTTAGTACTTAATAGTCCCCAGTTAGCGTGCTTAATTTTTTTTATAACAGGTTATGAAATTACAGTTCATTAGCAGGTTGCCTCCGTAGCTACTTTAGGACAAACCATTCCATCCCAGTGTGGTAGCGCATAAATCTAGGATAAGTGTGCCAGTGCCGAGTTGTAAAAATGCTGGTCTAGACTGGTGGCTGTTAAAGCTTTATATTTTTGTTCATATGGCCTTTTTCCAATTGGAGTGGGGGTTCCTTTGCTGTGCTGAAGTACTTTTCTGTGCTTGACTTCTTAGTCAAAGTAAGTTTTGTGCAAAGAAAGAAAAGCAGTAGGCTGTAGCGCCCCCCCCCATATTACAGTCATAGCAGCCTAATTTATCTCTGCACAGTGATAGCATCTTGTCACTGCCCTCCAGTGTGGCTTTCACAGTTCACTGGTGTCATTGTGATGCCAAATAGCTCCCTTCTTTCAATTATGCATAACTAGTTTTTTTGTTTCACCTACTGTGCAAAGAAGAATATCTTTACATACATCCAGTAGCATCTTTTTAAAGTTGTTACTATATCCTTGTCTTCTGTTACCACATGGTTATGCAATGTGACACTTCAACTCACAAGCTGTTGGTCTTGGCAGTGTTTCAAAGCATCTCCCTATCCAAGTTATCAGGTACGTTGCCAGTGTGTTAACCTGCCTTAGAGTTCACTGGACTTGTTTAATCAAATATTTGCATTAAAATCATTTAAATATTAATCCTAATAGATTTCCGAGCAAAAGGGCTTGCCTGCAATGCATCACTGCTGTCTTCTTATCTCAAATTGTGCGAATTAATAGATATTTGAGCTTCAGCATCTGCTCCATAAACATCTGGGGGTCTTTTTTAGCCTCTCGGCTATTGTGCTTAAATCTGTCTCTGGTTTAAAACAGTTCAAATTATACCACTTCATTTAGCTATTGGAATGAAATATGTGGCATCAAAAATCTTGCATTAATTCTGTGTCATAGTAGTTTCCCTCTGCGGGATGTGTGGGTTATCTTTGTGTCGTCCTTGTGTGCCTTATGGTCTCTCATTCATTGCACGCCACAGCATACCTGTATTGTGAAAGAACTTGCAAGAGCTTAAACAAAAAAGGCATCTGGTACTGGAAGGGTGACATTCTTGGACTTAACACCCATCCCATAGGACAATCCATTACCCCAGCAGGATTTGACACCTGGCCAAAGTGAAAAATAAGATGTAAATTAGATGTGGGAGATTGGGAATGTGAGCATGCAGATCAGTGTGAAACCAAAAGTTACACAGCTGGTTTTATTCTACTAAACACTGAGCTGAAGACAACTATTTGGAAAGAGGTCAGGAATTTGTGTTCTGTCCAAGACTAATATGGTGAGCTTCAAAAATACTCCTACAGAGTGAAGACCATTTTAACAGAGCAGTCTTATGTATGTATGCCTTCTCAAGAGCAAGCCCCATTGAGTTCAATGGGACTTATATAAGTGTTGCAGGACTGCAGCCTTAAGTGTGCATGCAAAGCCTCTGGGGTTTCTGCAAGTGAACAGAGTAATGGTCCCTAGCAGTAGGCAGAATATTTCCACCTTCGTGCAAAATGACCCTTTAGATTAGAAATTGCAGCAAAAGTGGAACTTGTAAATGCATCTTGGGCGCTTATTGCTTAATAGAATATCTAAAACATTCCAGGCACTGTACTTGAAAAAGCTATGTTGCCTAACATGGGTTGAAAAATGAGAACGGAGGGGAGAAGGGAAATACTGAGCTTGTTGCAAATTATAGTCCAAATGCTAATATCATCATCATTATTTTGCTGGAATTTTTTGTTTGTTTGGTGGGAGAGTTTTTAAGCACAACCCCGGGGACTTATGGAAGGATGCCTCTTAAGTCATGTGAGTCATCTGTCTGTTGTGATTCAGATTAGTGATTGGTCTTTAAGGTGTTTATGCATTCCGTCCCAACTGCTGGGTTAATTCAGTTTTTTTTAAAAAAACACCCACATAGATTCTTGTGTTGCTGTTGTTGTTTTTAATCCTTATCCACAGGGTTGATCCAACTTTGTGCAGAGCTAACAGACACATAAGGGACGCAGGCGGCGCTGTGGTCTAAACCACTGAGCCTAGGGCTTGCCGATCAGAAGGTCGGCAGTTCGAATCCTTGTGACAGGGTGAGCTTCTGTTGCTCTGTCCCAGCTCCTGCCAACCTAGCAGTTCAAAAGCATGTCATAGTGCAAGTAGATAAATAGGTACCGCTCCAGCAGGACGGTAAACGCCATTTCTGTGCACTGCTCTGGTTCACCAGAAGCAGCTTAGTCATGCTGGCCACATGACCCGGAAGCTGTCTGCGGACAAACGCTGGCTCCCTCGACCTATAGAGCGAGATGAGCGCCACAACCCCAGAGTCGTCCGCAATTGGACCTAACGGTCAGAGGTACCTTTACCTTTAACAGCCACATGCATGATCAAGGAGCTATTCTATTAGTCCTTTGACAAATCCAAAGCTATGTACTTAAAGATACCATTTTCTCCCTTGCAGCTGTAGTGGCAACACAAGATACATAAAGAGCTGCCTTAGACTGAGTCAAACTTTTAGCCTATCTTAGCCCAGTGTTAGCTATTCTAATACTCAAAGCCTTGAGTAGAACTTTCTTAGCCCATGAGTCAGGGGTTAAACCTGAGGCTTTCTGAAGTACTCCACTATTAATGTATGGTCTTTTTTCCTATAAAATGTTGGCCCCAGCTGGTCCCAGGGAGAGCATAAGGTTTGAACCTGTAAACACAAACCAAGCACAACTACTAGATGTAAGCCACCGTCAAAGAAAAGGGTGTAAGTATAAAATAAGAATATGTCTTTGCCTAACATGGCTGCTATGTCATTTCTGTAATTCCCATGGTACCACTGTTTTATCAGCATTAAGGTAATGTAGTTGTGGGAAGGACAGAGATGCTGGAATAGCACACACATGATAGTAGAAGCTTAATTCCTTTATATAGGTAGAGAGACCAAATGTTTTGCATTCATAAGCCAGTTCCAATCAGGCTTCTTGACCTCTTTAATATGATGGTGTTTGAAAAGTGCATGTCTCAGATGCTTTGAAAGCTGTCTTCCAAAGGCTTTTCATGATGATGATTCATTTTATTATGTTAAATGTGATATTGACCAGGTCCAAAGGCAGAGGAGGGGAGCTTGGCCATTACCCATCCTCAAGGCATGGGTGGGCTTTAAGGGCCAGTGCAAACATGCCCTACCACAGCTTGGAATAAAGCTTCATAGATATTGCAATGGTGAAAACTGGCATTGTCAATAGGTAAGGGGTTGTTTTTTTTGATGGTGTTCCTCCTGTGTATTAAGGAGAGGTGTCTTATTTTTAGCATCTTAGATCAGCAAGTCTTCCTCTAGATGAACTTGGGGGAAATTGCTGATTTACAGCAGGCATGCTGCCATATGAACTGCACAACCTGCCACTCCCTTGTCTGTAGTTTCACTTTATAAATAGCAGCAAACCGGGCTAAACAAAATTTAGGAAATATCCCAGCAAATAATATGTCAACTGGCTGGCTTTTGTGCGGTCACTTAAAAAAAAAAAAAATCTCCCTTGTATTGATGTCATTGTGTAATGTCAAGCTCTCCTTGCTTGTGCTTAGAAACTTCCAAAATTTGATCATAATTCATTTTCTTGCTTGGGAGTAGCAAGAACGGAGCACTAAATAAATGCCTGCAATTGATTTTTCTCATCTGAAATCACCAATAGGCCATTCTCATTTTCTTTCTTCCTGGATCCATATATAACTATATTCAATTTTTCATGCTATAGAACCATGCATCCGGAACCAAGCTATTTAAAAGCCTGGCATAAAATACCCTGAAGATAACATAATGATATTGATATTCACATCTCATTCCCACCTGCGTGTTTTCTGACTACATAGCAAAAGCACTGTTGCATATAGAAATGTAGCTGGGGGGGATGAGGAAAACAAAATCTGCTCAAGTTTGTTGTATAGGATTTGAAGCCTGCACAAAGATTGCAAAACATGCTAGCCATATATGCACGCAAAAGGCTCCAGATAACAAAGTGATGAGGTAAGAAGGAGGTGATGCCTTTTTACTGAGGTAGATGGACGAATAGTCAGCTGGTAAAAAGCAGCGTCTTATGCACCTGCTATTCAGCTGGACTATTTCTCCATCTAGCCCAGAAATGGGGAACCAATGGCCATACTGGTAGTTGCAATCCAAAATCATCTGTAGGGCCACATCCCTAATCTTGCCCGTTGTTACTTACTGTGATGGCAGCTCTCCAAAATCTCTGGCAGAGGTCCTTCCCAAGGCCTGAGATATTTCCAAAGATCCTTTAGCTAGACGTTCCAGGGTCTCAAAGTATTCATGTGCTGTATGATAGAATGCTAGAATCCTAAAATTGGAAGGGATCCCATGGATCATCTGGTCCAACACCCTGCAAAGCAGGAATATGCACCATGCAGGAATCAAACCTGTGGCCTTGGCCTTATTAGCGCCACACTCTAACCAACTGAGCTAACCAGCAACAGTGAGCTATAGACCTTCCCTAGTTCACTTAATGACCACATGCTAGGAAGCCATGGTTGGCTGTAGTTGCCCAAGATATGTACACAGCTGCAAAAGCCCACATGTAAGTTTGGACCTGACATGCAATGCTTTTCTCAGCTTTGAGAAGGCAATATGCTATAATCACCATATTTTATGTCGTCTTGGAGGTTTTGTGTGTCTCCCACGACAAACTTTACTGTTTCAAATTCAAATGAAAACTGGCTGTAGCAGATACAACATTTTAAGGTAGTGTAGAATAAATTGGCTCGCTTTTTTGTTGTTGTTCTAGTAAGGGACAGGAGTAAAAGAGTCTTAATACATTGTTACATGTGTCCCAACACAACTTCATTAATAAAGGGTGCTTCGAAATGGAAAAGTTTGCAAGTGTCAGGAATGCTGGTGGCAATTCAGAGGGGTTCGGTAAGACTTCATATGGATAGCACTATACAAATAGGTTGTTGGACTGCAGGGGAGGTTTGTCCAATAGTAGTATCACTTTTCTGGTACTGTTCTTGCTGTTCTGGTTCAGCACCCTATTGCTCAATAATCAACACATGAAGCTGCTGTCTGGGCACAGCCTTAGAAATTTGACCTTCTGCCTTGTTAATGGAAGTAGGGAGAAGGCCATCTCTCTACTCGAGAAGCGCTTGTCTTGACAGAAATGTATTTGTAAAATAAAATGGTTGTAGTAATCATGTAGGTAAGAGCTGTTCACAGTGGAACGGACTTGGGAGGTTGTGGACTCTCCTTCATTGGAGGTTTCTAAGCAGATTTTAACTGAGATTCTTGCATTGCAGGGGTGATCCTCAGGGTCACTTCCAACTCACTTCTATGATTCTATTATTTAATGTTTAACAGGAGCAGCTGCACTCAAAACCGTGCCTTTCTACAAAATACATTTCCACTTTGAATAAACTTGCATGCCTTAGGACCAAACTAGGCATGGATTTAAATCCATCTTTGCAGCTAATGTGCAGTTTCTTAAAATGCAAATGGCATCAGCTGAGGGCTGGTAATTATAAGGATTGTAGCAGGTATGGAAGGGGAATTTTACCCTTTCCTCCCGTGTTGAGGTCCTGAAGAAAATCTCTGCTCTGAAATTAATTTGGAATAACTCCCCTCTATTTGTTCCCATAGAGGATTCTACCCCACCCCAATGCTACTTGCATTTTTTAAAAAACTTGAATATTAAAAGCAAATGTGTATTTAAATTCCAGTGAAGTTAGATGCTTAAAACCAGCCTTTATCAACCTTCGGTCCCTAAATGTTGTTTGACTACAACTCCCATCATTCCTAGCCAGTAGTCAGGGATGATGAGAGTTGTAGTTCAAGCACATCTGGGGATCCAAGGTGGAGGATATTCTGTTTTAGACCATTAAACCTGAGATTATATTAATCCAACAATTGGGGAGGCAGTTTGCTAGGAAAGCATAGTTGGTGATATACTGGTACAAAAAAACCCCTGCTTTATTTTGACTGACTTACCTTCAGGAAAAACTATGTAGTGGGGGGCAATGTATAAAATGGGGGACAAATCTGGAGGCAGAAACACATCAGTGATCTCTCAGGCTTGCAGGAAGAATCAAACAAAACATCAGTTGTGTCCACTGTGGTGCTGTAATATGAAGGCACAATGGCATTTTGGGTTGTCTGAATGAGTGGTTCAAATAACCAGGAAGTACCAATCAACTTGGTGTTGCCTTGATGCTCAGTTCTGGCTATTGTAGATCAGGAAGAAAGTTGTGCAGCTGGAAAGGAATTCGGAGAAGAGCTATGAGCTTCTTCTAGAAGATAAAACAAGCGAAGGGAACTGGGTATACTTGGAGAAGAGACGTTTAAGGAAGTGGGTTAAGGGGATATGTGAGAATTCTCAGAACTGAAAAGACACCAGGAAGAAGAGAAGCAGTTGTTGATCAGTCCGTAGAGGGTAGAGAAAGGAGCAATTGTGTTTATACTTCATTGAAATGCTAAGTATGAGACAGTGCCGTCCTAATATGTACTGCAGCGCATGACACATACATCCCTTATGTCTTGGGGGTGACTTTTGCTTCATGTTTGCTCAGCTGGGGAGTTGGTAGCAGGACAGAGCAGGAGAAGCAGGCAGGAGTGCACCATAATAATTTATAATAATAATAATAATTTATTATTTATACCCTGCCCATCTGGCTGAGTTTCCCCAGCCACTCTGGGTGGCTCCAAAACAATACAGCATTAAATATTAAAAACAGGGCTGCCTTCAGATGTCTTTTAAAAATAGGATAGCTGCTTATTTCCTTCACATCTGATGGGGGGGCGTTCCACAGGGCGGGTGCCACTACCGAGAAGGCCTACTGTCTGGTTCCCTGTAACCTCAGTTCTCGCAATGAGGGAACCGCCAGAAGGCCCTCGGTGCTGGATCTCAGTGTCCGGGCTGAACGATGGGGGTGGAGACGCTCCTTCAGGTATCCTGAGCCGAGGCGGTTTAGGGCTTTAAAGGTCAGCCCCAACACTTTGAATTGTGCTCGGAAACGTACTGGGAGCCAATGCCGATCTCTCAGGACCGTAGCTTTCAGGCTCTTCTCCAATCGTCTGTAAACCCTCTAGCCTCCCAAGATTTGGCAAGTGAAACCTCTCTCCCCTCCCCGCCCCCCATGTCTAATGTGGTGTCTGGTTGTGGTGGGTGTCTGTTGGCAATGGCAGTGCACATTTAGGAGGTAGATCCAAAGACTCCGTCAGCTGGACCATAAGATCAGTGGAGCAATTGAACTGATTGCGGGGCGAACTGTTAAACGTGTTCCTAAGAAGAACACTGTATGTATTGTCAGGTTCAGCAAGGGAGGGCAAACCTTTTGAGGATCATATGCCAGTTCTGAGGACCACATGCCAGTGGTCAGCAGGGCCAGAGGCAAAAGTGGACAGAGCAGCGGATGTAAGTTCTACCTTAGTACAATAGACGAATTTCTACAGACACACACTCCCCTCTATGCTCCATCCAGACAAGCAAATTGTATATAAATGCATTGAAAGACACATTCCATCCTGGCAGAGACACTGAAGGAGAGAGCAAAGCAAGGCTGAGCTTTGCCATCCCTGAAATAGCCTTGCAGCATAGTCACCCTCCAACTCCTATTTACCTTTTGCTTTCGGGTAAGCACAAATTAATCAGATTGTAATGTTCTTACTTTACTCTTAAGAAACAGAAGCAACCATTCAGTTGCAGACAGCATTCCTAGCACTCCTAAACTTTGGAAGGGTTATAAGTCACTGGGTTCATCTCCTGCGTAAACACCACTTAGATTAATATAAACCTAATTCAAGGGTGTTAAGGCAGCCTCGTCTAGAAGTAAATGCATGCAAAGATGAGCCTGAACATGAACAGAGCTCCACACAGGGGCTGCTGGAATCCTGGGGTGCTGAATTCCAGATTTTCTTTTGGTGAGGCTTGCACCAAACATATTGGACACTGCAATGGATCGTGCCTGTTATTTCTTTGCATGAAATGTAGCCTGATACAGAACTGGTAAAACAATAATCTTTATTAGCCAAGCATATGAAAGTCCGAAGACTTGATTTCTTTTTCTTCTTTTTCTTTTTTTAAATGCTCTTGGGCTGGTCCTAAGATTATGTGAAAAGTGTGTCTGTATTGTTGGTTTGTAAAGGCTGATATTGTGGGGTTTCATAACTTAAATCTCATGGTATTTGTAGGGGTTTTGTTCATTCCTTTTTGTACTTATACTTTTGTTAAGGAGTCATTGTTTTAGCATAGTAAACAGCCTTGTTTCAGCTTAAACATTTTTTGTGTGTGTTGTTGTTTTTTAATTGTTCAAATACATAAATATATCTAGCTGTTTGAAATCAAAATGGTTCTAATACATAATAAAGGACATCATTTTGGGGGAGGCAGGGGTCCATTCACATAATTTGACCGCTTCACCTGTTGAACCATACCTGTTTGCCCATTTGTGCTACTTTCAGTGAACAAATGTACTCTTGCAGCACAACAACATGCTAAATCACAAGCTGGATGTATTGTGCAAAATAAAGGTGTAATTGATTTAATAAATTGTCTGTTTGTAACACATGCCACTTTGATTTCAGTGTTTTCCATTGTTTAGACATTAAGAAATAGTTTCCATTTTCACAATTACTAACATGAATATTTGCAATTCCAATGTATGTAAAACCAAATTAGAAAGCTTCATAGGCTGGCATTACATTTTATATTTAAATGACCCTTTTCTGCTTTCTGCCTTGCATTAGCATTCCCAAGAGATACAAAGACATGAGTCTTTATAGTTAATGTTAACTCTTTTAACTGGACATTTTCTCAAGCTTGCCTAACAAATTGTGGGCAATGATCAGACCAGGTATCGTGCCATTCACAAGAGGCTATATGTTCCATGTTAATATATACCAGCCTTTATCAACCTTGGGTCCCCTGATGTTGGACTACAACTCCCATCACTCCTGACCACTGGTCCTGCTAGCTAGAGATGATGGGAATTGTAGTACGACAACATCTGGGGACCCAAGATTGCAAAAGGCTGACCTGTACTATAAACTAACTGCTGAAAAAGTATTCAGGTATCCAAATACTGATCTATGAACAGCAACTCCCTTACTATATATATATATATATATATATATATATATATATATATATTTATTTTGGTTGCAGAGAGGTCCAAATCTGATCAGAACTGAAGGTGAAATGAATTTGCCCTTCTGCTCCATGCTATATTTACAGTGAAAATCAAAGATTTCAGCTCTGTTATTGAATGCATGAATGAATGAATGAATGAGTGAGTGAGTGAAAATCCAAGTCTCAGCAACACTGAACTGTTCGATCTGGCTTTTATTCAGAATGTGAATTTAAAACTGCAATTTGAACGGGCTTTATGCTCTGTTGGTATCTTGTCTTAAAGGATATGATGGGCCAGTAAACTAAACAAAATGACCTATTTTCTTTATCTTGTTATAAGCTTCCTTGCAAC